GGAGAAGTTCCGAACCTAATGCCAACGATTGTTCACGATGCAGGTACAGCAAAAGCACGTGGTAGTGTTGTTGGTTTTGTTTAGTCGGCGGCACGTCCTTTAATCCGACAAGGACATTCACGTGGAGCTGATTACATGCAAACAGAGAAGAAAACATCGTAGATAGAAACAAAATCATCTCCCCCGAAGCAAAACCCACTCATCGCCAAGTCTAGTGATGTTCCTGCAGGCCGCTTAACAGAATTCTTACTACGCAGTAATGAATATATGAGGTTCCAATTGAAAGCATACTGTCGCCGGAAGCGAAAGAATCGAGTTTCATCAAGCGACAGCGAAAGAACCTAGCCTTCCAGGTGATATCACGATGCCTGATATCTTACTCTTCCTTTCTTCTAGCAACATGGACAGCTGGTACACAGAGCAGCGCCGCTCCCAAGCATATACTCAACCCGCTAAAGAGCTGACCGCGGCTATAATCATTCGTCGTAGTATCGACAAGAACCCCCGCAATCGGCGCCCCAATCAACGCCGCAAACGCAACAAAACACCACATCATCCCCGTCCTAGCCCCGACAACGTTGGCATACGGCGCGAGCCTCGGCACAATAGCATTCGGCAAGGCCACAGCGATCCCGGACATGAACCCAACTGAGACGCCCCAGATGGTTATGCCCGTCACATCGCGGATGCCAATCCAGCCCAGGATCAGCGCCCCGAGACTCAGGCACCCGACTATCAGGACCCACACGGGCCCGATGGTGCGGACTTGCGCGATCCATGCGGGGAGGATGCGTCCGGCTAGCGAGCCGGCGTTCATGTATGCTAACAGGTAGAAGGCGAAGTCGGCGCTTGTGCCGAGGGAGATCTGGGCGTAGGGGGCGACGATGAAGGGCGGTATCCAGTAGCCGAGCTCGACGAAGAAGAGGCCCAGGCAGAAGAAGAGGTAGGGTATGTCTTTTAGTGCTGAGGAGTCTAGTAGCTCGCCACCGCGCCTGCGGGGAGAACTTTGGATGGGATCTGGGCGGAGGAGGATGAGGGCGAAGAGGGAGGTGACAAGGACCAAGATGCCGAAAATACGATTGACCCAGGGAAATCCCATGCGCGGCTCGAGATTTCGGAATAGGATGGGGAATAGGACCCCGCCTACGGCTGATCCGGTTGCTGCGATGCCAGTGGCGATGGGGCGCTTGGTGGTGAAGGCATTGGAAACGATCGAGACGCCAGGTACGTAAAGTAAACCGCTTCCTAACACTGCGTTAGCTGCATGAATATCAGATACCGCGGATGCTTCACTACTTGCCGATACCGATGCAAATACCCTGCGAGAGAACAATGTGAAAATACTCAGCTGCAATGCTGAGCATGAAGAAGCCAAACACGACGAGGAAGCCGCCGATGGCGAGCAGACTTCTCATGTATCCATTGTCGTACAGAGGACCTGCGAGAATACCGGTGAAGCCCAGGAGAAAGACTTGAGTAGTGCCGATCCATGATATCGCCGAAGGCGAGCTTGAGGCGAGTTTATCGGTTTGATAGTACGCCTGGTAGGCACCGTACGTCGCCGCGATACCGTAAGTGTTCATGAAAATGAGCCAAGAGCCACCCACTTTTAGCCAGGCTCTGCCTCCATTTGGGCAGTTGGGAAGCTGGGAGACTGCGTTTGAAGCTGGTTCTTGTGTTGCTTCGGGGACTCCCTCGGTGAGGGTCCTTAGCATGATAGTTTCGGGTTCTGCGGAAGTCATGGCGTACTCAATCTTCCGTGATCGTCTTGAGGGTATCTTCGAGACGTCGCGATAGACGTCGAACGAATCTTGGAAGTCGGACTTGCCCAAGCGATGGCGGGACGTCCCATGCTAGCCACGTGTCGCCGCAGGTGATAAGAGATCCGCTGGCACGAGCAAGCGGGGTAAGGCAGCATTCCTCCGTCATGATCTCCAGCTTGCATAGCCGAGTGCCATTGAGTGCAACTCATGATGAGGCTCTGAATTTTTATCCAGGTCTGTAAAGATAAGATCACTCCACTCCGTGGACTCCGTGGGCTGCGGTCCGATGCCTCCATTGGCTTTTCAAGACTGCGTGTCATGTATGTCTCCCGGTGGTTTGCTTCTACTTGTTTTGGTGAACAAATTTTGAGATTTCAAAGATGCAATTCTATAATCCAAAGCATTTAGCCACGACAGACATATCCATTTGGAGTGTACGACTTTGATAATGGTGCTAGTTACTTGAAAATTGCGTTCACGCAAGCTGCTGGTCCAAGGTCAAGTGAAAAATGAGCTGCTTGGCTCAGTCCACAATTCTACGAGGATGGAACACGCCCTTGGACTGCAAATTTACGGAAACGCACCGGAACTTGGAATGACGATCCGGCGAAGGCTTGCGGATTGTCGAGCGGAAGACTGGGCGCTCGGCCCCGGTGATGCGGGTCGCGCAAAATTACGGGCATCGGCCCCACTCGACCGATCAAAAACCGGGATTCCGCTTCCAACTCGCGGAAATGACCGATAGCTCGTAGATTATAGCTTTTGGGTTTGCACACACTCTGCGGGCAAAAACACTTTTCACTTACTGACAGTTCCGCCCTTAACAAGAGAAGAAGAAGAAATCAGAAGATTGCGGAGATGCGTTCTTCCGTCGGCAAACCCGGGGGTTCTCGCCCCCTCTCCCTGTCCCGCCTGATTCCTCATCATTGTCGAATGCCGACTGACCGACTTTAGAACCATCCGATCGGCTTCGCATTAGCGACAAAACCTGATGAGGCTGACCGGCGGAACTGATGAGTAAATATAGCGAGAATTTGACAGCTCGCGATGGCCATCAGCTCACTTGCATTCGTTCTGGAAGCATTCTTGAGTGCGCTCATGACCAACAAAACCTGACTCTGCATCCCACTATTCCCCCACACTGCCTCCGCAAACTCATTTTAATGCCTCCGCAGAACTCTATCGCCCCAGTGGAAGTCGTCCGAACGACAGCGAGCTTGGGCCAGAAACCACCCGATTGACTGGTACGAACGACGCAAACAAGACGCCGTTAAGAACAGGGTGCTGGCACATGTACCAAGGTCGGAATGGCATGGCGCGTGACAGCCCCCAAAATTCGCGCCAGATCCAACGAGATCCATCTAGCGGCGGGGCTGGTCTGGCGATTCTTCGGCCGTTTAACCTTGCGTCCCCCCCATGTGTGGTAACAGCGAGCAAAGCACCGCTGGAAATTGCAAATCCCCACGAAGTCATGCGCCCACGTTGGAGTTGGTGGTTTGGCTACGCGCCTTTTTGGGTTACCGGTCTGCTTCTTCTTGCATCGCAGCAGTGGCTGGCCAGTCGGACGATGAGGCCTAGCTGGACAGAGACTTTCGGGGAACGCAAGACGTGCAGCTATGCTTGGGGCTATTGCTTATCATGCATGGGAGAGCAACGATATGAGGCCAAGAAACAAACGCCCAGGCCAGCCCGTTTGTTTTTTTTCTCCCCCAGTCCATCCGCACGAGGAGTTTCAGCGAACTATGTCCCGACCGACCCCCGCGACTCCGCATCTCCCGCAATTTCTCCCTCCTTCAACACCACCAACAGTGCCACTACCCACCGCCGCCGGGGTAGCGCGTCTCCAGTCCGGCTTGGCCGCCCCGCGATTCCCATCCCCATACCAGCGACTTCCCGACCGCGTGGTGCAGTTCCTTTCGGCCCGCAACTTCAGTCCAAGGGACGACCTTTCCCTTGGCTCGTGTGCCCATAGTAGGCAATCTTCGACTAGCCATCGTCAATTCGTCATGACCAGCTTCGCCGAGCCGCAGTAGCCCGGGATCATGACTCCGTATCCTTGCGTCTGACGGCGGAGACTCAATCTTGGCTCCGGCCCTGGCTGACGTCGTATCGACGGCCTGCCTGACAGCCTCTTCCCCGGGTGGAATGGGAATTGGATGGGGTCGGATCGTCTGATGCGCGCCGCCTGGTTCGTTGGTATATAAGATGAACCGCTCACGGTTCACCGTCCAGAATGTCTGGGACGTCAAGCGGCGGATTTACCAGTCTCTACAGCACAGCATGGCAATTCTCAAGGGTAGCGCCGTCTTCACGGCCATCGCGTCGCTCGGGGCCATTGCGGTCCCCGCGGCGGCGACTGTGCCGACGACCATCACGCCCGAGTACCTCGCGACGGCGGGCAACAACACCCTCTTCACGCGCTGGAGGCCGCGCTCGCACTTCCTCGGGCCTCACAGCTGGATGAACGACCCCTGCGGCGCCGTCTACGACCCGGCCACCGAGACGTACCACCTGCACTACCAGTTCCATCCCAACCACGTCAACTGGGGCAACGTCTCCTGGGGCCACGCCGTGTCCAAGGACCTCTTCCACTGGACTGACGTCCGCGACTGGTCCAACGACTCGTCTGTTTCCCTCGCCGCCGGCAGATACCCTTCTGGCCCCCTCTCGCAGTTCACCGGCACCACGCAGGTGGTCAACACCGAGGGCCAGAACGACGGGACCCTCCTGACGTTCGGCACCGGCATCCACGCCCTGCCCACGAACTGGAAGCAGCCTTACATCACCGGCACCGAGGTCCAGGCCATGTTCACCTCCGACGACCACGGCGAGACCTGGCAGGAGGTCGGCACCGTCATCTACGGCCCCCCCGAGGGCTGGAACGTCACCGGCTTCAGAGACCCCAGCTTCTTCCCCTCCACCGACCTCGACGCCCTGCTCCAGGTCGCCGAGCCCCACTACTACATGGTCCTGGGCTCCGGCCTCAAGACCGGCGACGTCCCCGCCACGCTCCCCGGCGCCGCCCGCCCCGGCTTCATCGGCCCCCGCATCCCCCTCTACTCCGCGCCCGCCTCCAACCTGACCGAGTGGACCTTCCTCGGCGCCCTCTGGGAGCCCGCCGCCAACTCCTCCCTCGGCGCCCCCGACGTCACCGGCTCGTACGGCTACAACTTCGAGGTCAGCTCCTTCTTCGACCTCGCCATCGGCAACTCCTCCGACAAGGCCTGGTTCGTCTCCATGGGCGCTGAGGGCGGCAACACCACCTCCCACTGGAAGGAGCAGTGGGCCCTCTGGAACCGCGGCGACGTCGCCCGCCGCGACAACGGCTCCGTCGAGTTCACGCCCACCTCCGGCGGCGCCCTCGACTGGGGCATCTCCTACGCCCAGGCCACCTGGAAGGACACCCGCTCCGCCAACGGCCGCCGCGTCATGTGGGGCTGGGCCAACGAGGACATCGCCTCCGACTACGCCTTCAACACCTCCAAGCAGCTCGGCTACCAGGGCGCCATGAACCTGCCCGTCGAGCTCTTCGTCAAGGAGACCGCCGGCGTCCTCAACTGCGGCGAGCAGCAGGACGGCTCCCACTGCATCGAGAGCTGCAACGGCTACACCGCGCAGACCCTCGGCCTGCGCCCTCTCCCGGACGTCATCGCCCTCCTCCGCGAGGGCGCCGCCGAGCAGGACATCGAGGTCGGCGAGCTCACCGACGCCTCCAAGTCCGTCGCCGCCGACCTCGGCTCCTCGTACGAGCTGACCGCCACCCTCTCCGGCGCGGACCTCCTCTCCGGGCCCGCGGGTATCGTCGTCGCGCAGAGCCCCGACGACGCCGAGCGCACCACAATCGTCTTCGACCCCGCCGCCTCCGAGATCCGCGTCCTGCGCGACCGCAGCTCGCTGCTTCCCAACTTCAACAACGCCACCTTCGTCGGCCACTTCCAGCCGTACGAGATCCACGCGAAGGGCAGCAACACCACCGCCACCGAGGACCTGACCTTTCATGTTATCCTCGACAACTCGCTGCTCGAGATCTGGGTCAACGAGCGCTTTGCGCTGACAGCGCGCATCTACCCCTCCCGCAACGACAGCACCGGCCTCAGCTTCTTTGCCGGTGATGCCGCGCAGCCCAGCGGTGCGAAGGCGAGCTGGACGGACGTCAAGGTCTGGAAGGGCCTGGCGCAGGCCTGGCCTGAGAGGCCGGAAGACACCAGCGTTCCGTTGGTGTGGGACACCGCGGAGCAGACGAACAACTACACGTGGTGGGCAGGATACTAATGATGCATCCTGGGATAAGCCAGGCATGATTTAATGCATGATTTAGACGTAAAAGTAATCTTTATAACTTAAATACAAGTATTTGAAGTAATATCTCGAACCTTCCTCTACGATGATCTAGTGCTGCATAGGTGAATACTGTTTGTTTCGAGTGCTGGCTCTCACCTGATGCAGCGCTCCTGTTAATAGAGACGACATCAAACGGCTGTCTCGACAGGCATATATATGGTCTCTGAAGAAAAGTAAGGGAACAAAAAAATCAACCTGCACGTACAACAAAAAAATGAAAAATGAAAGGGACGAGACTCGAACTCGCGCGGGTTGCCCCACCAGGAAACAGATGTTAAGCTGACCTTAACCTGGCGCCATAACCAACTCGGCCACCCTTCCGTGTGGTGATCGTGGTGATCAGTTGTTGCGTCTGGTGCGACGGCAAGATCACCATAAGCCCTAGAGTGGAGCCACGCGAGCGCTGTGTCTGAGCTGTGGTTAGCGTGGAGGAGCAGGCCTGGAGGAAAATGTCCGAGTGGAACCACGATGGCGGCAGCCGTTGCCGCTAAGCCGGCAGCTGAGGGTGGGAGAGAGGCACTATGAGTGTTGTTTCTTGGGAAAACAGGTTGTTTCGGCAGGATTAGCTTGGGGAGGTGTTGGATCGGCTGGTCCAGGCGAAAGGCTGGTCTCCAACCCCGCGGGTGAGGCTGGACTAGTCGTGTGTCTGGGATTCAAGGGATGAATGGGGATGACAAGATTCAAAGAAAAATGCCGGAGGAAGTTGCTGTGTTATGTCTGCGTTCTATTTAGAATGCATCCGTTGAAGCGATTGAGAAACACGCATCGAGCGGTCATTTTACTCTCAAGAGACTTACAAGGCCTCCACTCCGTCGAGAGCGCAGTCCACGACATGCCCACGATGGTGTTGTCCGTTGATGATATGACTTCCGAATGCAGTAGCTTGGCTCTAGTCCCTCGAGACAAACATGAAGAGACCAGCCAATGATCGCCCCCATCGAGCTCGGATGATGTTCAACTTCCCTAACTTTCAGGGATCGAACGTGCGGTGCGGCCTCTCCCTTCTGCATCAGGAATGCAGCTGCAGCAGCTGCAACAGCAGCCGTCAAACGGGCAGACGAGAGGATCCAATCATTCGGTAAACAGGTGTCATTCCTTCCCGCGTAGCCCATCCATGTGGAGATCTTCCGCGTGTGATCATCGCGATCTCCCTGTCGGAGCACCAATCAGTGCATGCGCGTCTCGTGACGTCATGAGTCCGTTGCCCAAAGCGGAAAGCTGTTGCCAGCTACGCGCTTGACGTCGGCGGCGGCTGGATCTAGACCTGGCTCCAAACCATGTTTTTGGAGCTCATTGCAGCTTCAAAATACGAGGGGCTCCCTGGCTTTTGCATCCAGGAGGACCCTTTGGTCTCCATCCCCGACATCCTGCAGACACCATGTTCAAGGGACACTCAACAGAAGAAGACGAGCAGCTGGCGGCGCAGCAACAGCCGCCACCAGCAACTGCTGCAGCCGCACTCCAACCAATCGTAGACCCCTCAAATACGCCAACTCAATCGGACTTTAGCTACTCGAGCCAATCCACGATGGGACAGGAACCGGAGATCGTGGAGGCACATGAGGACGAGAGGCCCACGGACAGCCACCACCTTGCAGACATGGCGACCAAGGAGACGCCAATCGAAGAGAAGGGACATGCGCAGATGGACCACAATGAGGTCGAGGTCAAGAACTTGGGCTGGAACACCCACGCCAAAGAGGTAGCACAGCCGATGGTCGGTGGGTTGTCAAACGAGGAACTTTGGATCCTCGTCCGACGTTTCGACAAGGTAGGGCCTGGATACTCGCTATGACTGAATGTTGTGCCATTGGTGGCCGTTACTGATGTTTCCCTAGCAAGTATTCCACGTCAAATCGATCCCAGAACCACCGGTAAGCTTCGTCCAATGATCCCATCCAACCCTCCCCGATTTAAGGTTCTGACACTCTGCAGCTGGCATCTCTCGACCTTAACATTGCGGACGAGGAGGAGTTCTCACCCGACAAACTTCGCGCCCACGTGGAACGCCTGTACATGACAGTTATTGTTGGCGCATTCTCATTTTGGAAGCACATCGTTCGCATCCGATCGTGGCGCGAGTGGAAGCGCACTTCGGCCTTTCTATCCGTCTATGCCGTAGCCTGGCTGCTTGACTTTGTTATCCCCGTGCTCGTCAGCTTCCTCATTGTCCTTGTCCTAGTTCCCGAAGCCCGCACTTTTTGCTTCCCTCCCGCCCCCGCATCCCTCATCGACAGCAAGACTGGCGGCGTCAAGAAGCCCGCGTCAGGCGTCCTCGCTTCCGACGACTCCATAACGGGAGCCCCCGAGAAGCATGCAGGCGAAGCCGTGGAACAGGAAGCGCACAGCTTCGTGACAAGCATCTCATCGCTGGTCATCAGCACCGCGGCGGGCAAACATCCTCAAGGCGATCCCCACACCGACACTGCTGCGCCGGACCCTACTAATATCACTGAAGATATCGTCAACGCCAAGGACAAGACCGGTGGGACAACGTCGCCTACTCACCACGACAAGACCAAGAAGCCGGTCTCTGAGACGGTCTGGACCCAGGCGAGGCCTGTGATGCATGCTATTGCGGATGTGAGTAGACATGTCTGCCAGCCCTGGTGGAGGCATATCTGATTTGTTCACAGTTGGTTGATACGTACGAACGATTTGGAAACGCCCTCAGCCCGACTCCACCATTCCCCCAACAACGGCCCCGACTTATCCTGGCCAGCGTCTTGCTCCCCATGCTCCTCGGATCGCTCTTCACAACTTCCTACATGCTTATCAAAGGAACCGGATTCATCGTCGGCTTTACCTTCTTCGGCGACCCCATTATCCAAAGAGGCCTGGTGTTTATCAACCGGTCAGTCTTCCTGTCAACTCTGATTGCTCGCGTGTCTAAAGTATGTCAATGTCCAGCACCTACCCTCATTGGAAAAAGTATGTTGAATTGCGAAACACCATTCTCAAGGGCATTCCCACAAATGCCCAGCTTACGATCACGCTGCTCCGTATCGGTGAGAGAAACAAGGCGCCCCTGCCGCCGCCGCCCGTGTCTTCGACGCCCCCTCCTGATGAGCCTCACGCCACTGCGGGCCAAGGCCTAGAGCACCTCGGTAAGTATCAAGGGCGTCCTGCTCAAACTCAACGACTCACGAACTTACAAGGCGTCGACCAAGACGAGATAGACGAAGCCATCCAGCCCGACGAGGTGGCCCTCGCCCCGGCGGAGTCGGAGACCGAAGAGCACAAGCAGAAGAAGGGCCATCGGATTTTGAACTTTATCAAGAGCACCGCCAAGGGTGGAATCAATACCACACTCGCCGCGGACAAGGTCAAGGCCAAGGTCGGAGCCAAACATGCAAAGGACCGCCTCGGCGTCGTCAAGAAGCAACCCGATCCTGAGAAGGGTCCGATTAGCTTCCCGGCGAGATACAAGGGTAAGCGCGGTCACGCATTCATCACGGCAACCGCTACGACTCCGGCGTTGAGTTGGACAACGGAGGCGGAAGATGTAAAGCCTGTGTGGTCTGTCGCTATTGGGGATATCCAAGTAAGAATATGCTCCACAAAGCTTAGGTCGCCACGTACTAACATGGTTTCACAGGAAATCCGCAAGGTTGGAGGTCTCGGATGGAAGTCCAAGATCTTTGTGGGATGGGCGACGGATCGTGAGATTGCTGATGGTCTCGTCATCACTGATACCATGGGCAAGGAGCATCATCTCACTGCGATTGTCACTAGAGACGAGTTGTTCAACCGCCTGGTTGCAATGGGAGCCCAGATGTGGGAGGCGTGGTAGTTGCAGGGGAATGACTTATGATGAACAGAGAAACGATAAACGTGTACTAGCATATGTGATTTGAGCGAATTCCATAACATCACCGAAATACCTTTGAAACACCACAAATTGATAAAATCTACGAGATTTCATGGAAATAGAAACCTCAGCTTCGGTGGAAGTTACAATGGCGCCAACCACGCAGGGGTAGACTCTAAACTTCCGATGACCTCATCCCTTGATGCTTGCAGATCGTCTTCTCCCTAGTTCCTTGCCAGCGCCACAAAACGCGTCCACGTCTGTGTTCGCGAATCCCTGAACCGTTTCGCCAGCACATCACGGGTTACATCACCCGCATCTTGCGCTGAACAGCAACTGCCCGAGATCAAAGTGCCTTCCCCGCAATTGCAGACTACTTCTCAACCTCAAAATGCCTCGGCGCGGCACTTCATCACGCGGCGGTCGCGGAGGAAAGGCCGCTGGCGAGGCCGCCAGCGGGGCCGCTAAGCGGAAGCGGGACGCGTCCGATGCGGGGAACTTGGACGGCATCCAGGAGCGAAGGACGGACAAGCGCAGCATGGAAGAGGGCCGCGAATGGCAGCATCAATATTACCAGGGCGTCAGCGTCAGCGACCTCTCCGGCATGGGGTGCGGGTGGTGTAGACTCATCACACCAGAGGTTCCGTTCCACTCCCCGTTCACTTGCAAGGGCCACATTGAGAGCATGTCTGGAACCGAGGGGCCTGGCAGCGGCGGGCTTCGGCTCTGTGGTCCCAAGAATTACATGGGTGTTAATAAGGATGGTATATTTGATGCAGTATTCATGATACCTTATAAGCACATCGGTAGGCATTATCCCCTCTCTATTTATGTACTACTTCTCACCACGTCACAGAGCAAGTATTCATAATCCCTAATGTGTCCAAGACCTTCAGTAAGGAGCAAGCTTACGAAGTCATTATCGTACCGACTGGCGCCACGGGATCATCGTTCATCAAACGTGAGTAACCGCAGATAATATCCTTCACTTGGCCCGAAAAGAAGGCGGATAAAGAGTTGGGCGGCACAGTTGGTGAAGCCGCAGATAGAGAGAAGGACACCTACAGCAGCGTGCTCAAGCAGGTCCTAAACGACCAGCTGAAGGCTTTCGACAAGGAGGTCATTGATCTCGGCGAGGACCCTCATGCGAAATTAATGGTGGGCGAGGAGGTGACTCTCTCGCCACCATCAGACGCAAGAGTTAAATCCGATGTTGACGGTAAGCGCACCTTGCTTTGCGGCATGTGGTTGCCAAACTGACGGCCCCAGGACGCATCCGCTTCTTGAATAAAGGCATTCTTTTCACCGCGGAGACGCAGACGATGTTCCTGCCCTTCAACTCCTTGGAGAACATCATGCTCATACAAGCCCGCGACGGCAAGGGGAAGACTGTTGGAGTGAGTCTGGTCTGCAGTGCCACTGAGCCGTTCTACAAAGACGAAGAGGAAGGTGGTAGCAAGACCATGATGAAGTTCCGTGGTATTGGTTATTCACTGATGGATGGCCTCGAGGAGTACATGAAAGCACACGATATCCAGGTCATGCTTTGTGAGCAGTCCTTCTATGATTACAAGAAGGACAAGCCGATGACTGGATTCATGCCGCTAATGAAATGAGATTTCTTCACTTACAGAAGCGTTCGTGTTCTTGCCAGTTCAATGGCAGCAGATGAGTTCCTATAGAATGCAGGGGTAGATTTTAAGCTCCCGGTGACCTCGCCCCAAGATGCTTGCGGGGGCTGACCGCCTTCTTTCTTGCCCCGCCACAAAATGCGAGCGCGATTGCATCCCTACCCTCAACCCGACATTCACAATCGAAACAGACAACACCACTTTCAGAAATCCAGACTTAATAAGCTGGCACCAAACTGAGCAAAGCCTTCCCGTACCATTATAGACAGATCTTATTCGGCATCATGGCTGCACGCGGATCCTTGTCCGATTGTCGTACGCCAGAAGAAAAAGCCGCCGCCAGGCGCAAGCTGGAGCGCATGATGGACCCCGCCGACGCGGGAAACCTGGAAGGCATTCAGAAGCGGAGAACCACCAGCGCCGAAAGCCGGGAGGCAGGCTGCGCATGGGAACAGCAGTACTACCAAGGCGTCAGCTCTTCCAAATTCCCTGGATTGGGGTGTGGTCTCTATGCATTCGGGACCCCGCGCGTACCTTTTCAAGCGCCCTTTACCTGCGATGGCAGGTTCGAAGTCATGTCAGGACTCGGCGGACCTCGAAGCGGCTCCATCCGCTTTTGCGGCCCGAAGGACTACTGGGGCGTCACTAAACCCCCCTTTCCTAGGCTTGACGCAATCTTCATGTTGCCATTCAGGCATGTTGGTGAGTTCAACTTGCATCCTTTCTGTTTCCATGTTGCAGCCCTCAGGCGATCGGGTTTCTTACTTTATCACAAAACAGATTATCATCATACCAAACGTATCCATTTCAGTGACTAAAGATGAGGCGTGTCAAGTCATCATCGTTCCTACAGGCGCGGTAGGCGCGTCTTCTGTGAAGAGAGAATACCCTCAGATCATCTCGTTCAGCTGGCCAGATAAGGCGGCGGATAAGGACCTGCATAGCCATGAGGCTGCAAACCCTGAGAAAGACACTTACCTTTTCGTATTCGTGAGGGCTATGAACGATCATCTTAAGCCGTTCAACAAAGCTGTGATTGACCTCACCTCCGATACTGGAAGATGGTCTGTGATTGAGCAGGCCGCAATCTTGTCACCACCGACGGATTCGAGGGTCAAAGCTAAGACCAGAGGTATTGACACAAAACCCCCTTGACTTGCGTATTAATATTGAATGCTGATCCCACCAAGGCCAGCTGTGCCTCATGGATCAAGGCATACTCTTCAACTCCCAATCGCACAGAGTTTACCTGTTTTTCGATTCGGTGGAGAAAGCGATGACCATCCTTGCTCACGACATGAAAAACGAGGGCAAGGTCGCCGGCCTAAATTTGATTTTCAGCGCGACAGAGCCATTCTACAACGCTGAGGAAGAAGAGACTGAAAGTCAGACTCTGATCAAGTTTGTTCAAGTCGACCATACGCTTCTGGATGATATCAAGAATTACATGAAGCAGCACAGGGTCGAGTTGATGCTGTGTGAGCAGTCATTCTATGATTATGAGAATGATGTGCCAGCAACTGGTTTCATGCCGATGAGATGAAAGTAGACCTAGATGCTCTTACCATGTTTGCAATGACCTATCGTTTTGCCATTCCAATGGTACCAGATTCTCAGTGTTGAGACAGCGTTGAACAGTATGTGTATCTACTTAGGTACGGCGCCCCACTAAGTGATCGAGTCAGTGACTGCCCTTCATCAAAGGGGCACGTCAAGCTTGGCTTCACCGCGATCAATGTAGGTTTGGTTAGGTCTGCGATTTACTCAGCGCTCTCGGTGAATACGGATTACCGTTGTGCAGCGTGAACTCCCAATTTAATATCCAAAGACTCCACCAGCCGCGATAGCGGATCGTACTAAAGTTGCCAGGGACTCAGTGGCGAGCGGAGGTTCAAACGCCGTCGGCGATGATGATACTCTCCGAAGTCGAGCCGCAATTCTTAGTGCGATTGATATCTATTGGATATAATAGGATAAATGAAGGCTTGGTCTGGCAAATGGATAAATAGTTTGGATAGCCGATGCTCACTTACATCGGTCTTTGACATCATAATCACAATTCTACCAGACTCATCCTACTACACTTTTCAACTGCGCTTCGGTTTTGAAATTCTACCCAGTGTATCAAAATGCGCTCAAACGCGTTTATACTTGTCGTTTGCAACGTCCCGGCCATCTTCGCAGCTTGCAGGAGCGTTGTGCAGCCATGCGTAAGCCCTTATAGAGAGCACCATGGCACCTTGGGAACTTACCTTGACTGACAGTAAACCAGACAAACTTCCAGACTTGTTACGCGTTGGAGATGCAATCGACCTGCGCTTCTAACGAGCACGTCGGTTCTGGAAGTTGCCAGTCCACAACTTCCGCTGCTAACAGCTACGTCACGGTAAGCTTGTCTCTCTTCCGATACAGAAAGACCGTGGTTAACGGAAATTTCCAGTGCGATTGCTGTACCTAGAGGGAAGCAGGCTCCTCGGGGGTACTGGGGAGAATGACCAGGCCTTTTGATTTGAAAGTGTCAAGGCAATCTTGCTTCGCAGGAACAAGTGTATCAGGTATCAGGACCTGTCGAAATTCCGTGTATTAAGTCAGGAGATGCCCACAAAACAAGTCAGTTGGCTCTCAACCGCCAATCGTACAATCTGAATAGCCCAACTTTTCGATATTATCCGAAACCTCATTCTTGCCCACTATTTCCCCGGTGTGACCTTCTCCGCGAGCTTATCAAAGTCCCCTGCTGCCGGCGTCGTCGTGCCCTTTGGCTTCCCCTTCAGATGAACCAAATACGCACCCACGCCAACTCCCACCGCAGCGATCGCTGCCAAGGTAGGCCTTTTTGCATGCAATCAGTAACACAAAAAATAGCCAGCATAACTCAAGGAAAGCTCACCAACTCTGCGACGCGCCGCTTTGTGGAGGCACAGGCTCCTGCCCGCCCGGCCCGCCGAGGTCTCCATCATTCGACTTGGCGCTGTCCCATCTCACTTGTCTGGCTGCTGCGATGGGCATTGAGGCCCGCGGGATGCTCCTCGGGATGGCGGCGCGACGGATCGCGAGGGCTCGTGTGAACGACATTGTGACCTGATGTTGCTGTCAAACGCGCAAGTTGGGGTCGTATCCAGAGAAGAGTGTCTTGAATCTCTTAGATTGATTAGGCTGTGAGTGTTGCTGTCAATAGAACCGAGTAAAACCAATCACGTCCAAAGTGATATGAACGAAGTTGAAAATCGCAATGCTCTCAATGGTGGTGACGACACATTTCACAGGGGGTTGCCGTGAGCCGCGAATGCGTCATAGGTACATCATCTCCAAACCGTCCCCTCTTCTCCCTCCCTCGACTCCAAAGGCAAGGATTCCCCAAAATGCCACTGTGCTCCAACTAGAACTCCCAATTAAAATCCGTCGCGCTAATGGAAAAGAATGACATGGGACGGAAAGTTTTCAGCTGAAATGTTTCCGTGCAGCGTTCTAGAACACCGAATGTTGCCGCATTGGCCTAAGAAGCGTCGTTCAGGTGCGGCTCCTGCAGTGCCCCTTTTCTGCAACGACACGCACCCGCATGGATTGAAGTTAAAGTTAGATGATTTGAACGATGATATGCATGGGTGCGTCAATAAGCTCACAGGAAGCTGTTTTGGAATGAATTACAAACACACCCTCCAGCAAGACGTGGCAGGCCAAGTGTGGCACGCAACCGCAACAGCAAGCACCCTCCAGCACCCAAAATACGGACAAAGATCTCACCTAACCCATCCCAAAACCTGGATAAACATTTTCCACAAAAACCCAACGCCAAGATTTCCTGTTCCGCAATTCAAACAACCAACAACCAACACTCTTTCGCCCGACACCCAAAATCCGAGTCCCGACCGCCGTTCGTATTCCCGAGCACCAGCCACCCGTTCGGAGATGATAAACACTGACACGATCGATATCTCGGAAACGGCCCGAGATATGAGACAGCAAAAGTCTCCGGAGTCGGATCTGCCAAGCGGCGTTGCGGGACGGTGTTGTTGGTCTGATATCGTTCAGCTCGTGGGGGTCACCTCACTTGCGGGCGGCTCTTGGAGAAAGTGGATGCCAAGCTTGGAGAGGGATGGCTATGGCGGGTTGCAGATGGAGAAAAAAGGAACTATTACATATTGAGGGAAATGTAAACCAAGGGATGTAGTCGTCAAGAGTAGAGTGACTGCTTCTCCCGTTTACTTGCTATCGTCGTCGTCGTTTTTGTTGTCGTTTTCTTCGTCGCTTCTATTATTCGCATTACTGATATCGTTGTTTCCACCCTGATTTGAGTTCATGTTTTCTCTCTTTGCTGTGATTTACTGTTGTGCTCAGTCAAACGATACTTTACGTGTGTTGAGCAAAACAAATGCGTAGCCCCATCAGACAAGAAAACCGGGCGGTGCCATCAAAATAGTATTCATAGGAGAAACTCGTGTCACACACAATGCTTACTCGATGCGCTGGAGAAGAAAATGAGAGGTGCTTTTTTCCTGTGGTATCTAACATGCCTGTGATGCATCCCAAAAGAAACTCGGAATGCTGATGCTACCGTCGACGCCATCGCCATGCCATGAACATAAGAAACATATCCCTACAAAACACAATGCTTCTGTTTGCAAGCCAGGTATACTCTGAATTGGCGGCTGTCTTTTGTCGTCTCCCGTTGTCGCCGTCTTTCCCGTCGTCTTCTTTCCCGTTGTCGTCTTTCCCGTTGTCGTCTTTTCCGCCGTTGTTCTCCCCCCTCATCGTCCTCCTTCGTCGTCTCTCTTCGTCGTCCCTCTTCGTCGTCCCTCTTCGTCGTCCCTCTTCGTCGTCCCCCTTCGTCGTCCCCCTTCGTCGTCCCCCTTCGTCGTCCCCCTTCGTCGTCTCCCCTTATGCCATGGGAGGAAACGGTGACCACCCGTAACTTATAGCGACCTGGGTCAGTCCTACGAAAGCCACAACAACCACGTAACAAGAATGGGCACCATGGGGCTCGTTGGCATCCTAAACAATCGGGCGCGGGGTGCTCGTCTTGCCACCAGTCCAATAGTCGGTCTTCCGGACGGCTCTCACTTCGGGTGCCTTCCAATCTGGCAAGGACTCCTTCGTCTCTCTGATCGCGTCCATAACCCAGGACTTGATCTCACAGAGAGCGCGGCGACGCTGGATCCGTTCTTGCTGCTTGACTTTGGAGGCGAACTCGCCATCTTCGGAACTGCCGAATGCGTGGACGTGAAACGTCACGAGGAGAGTGAGCGTCTTGAGAGAGGGAAACTGCCGTATGAAGTGGATGCCAACTAGGCATTGCCCTTGAACCCAACACGGACGGAGACCCCAGTCCATGGCGAGGTGCTGGATGTTGGCAAAGTTTGCTGCGTCCGGCATGGTGGCGCGGGGAGGAGCTGTTTTTGTCAGTCATAATCCTCAAATTCATCAATGCTCTTACCTCTATAAATATAGAGCGTATCCTTCTCGCAATTGACATACGCCCCCCTTCCGCTTGCGCCTGACGAGTGCACTAGCTCAAACTGTTCTTGCGTTCCACCCCGGCGGTGCTCCCTCTCATAGAGTAGCTCTGCACGAGATTCTCGGCAGACCTGCAAGACCCCGGGTATCGGCGCTTGGCGACGAAGGGTTTGCTCCATGAGGCTGTAATTCATGGCGCGTTCAATCACGGCGGGCCGGGGCACCGCCAGACGCCAGATTCGAATGCGGATTTCCGGCGGGAGCTCGTTGAATTTGTGAAAGGAGCGGGTGAATGGACAGCTAAGGTCTATGCTCGCCAGATTCATGGCCTCTGGATCGAGATGAGAGGGGGCAGGTGAAGTTGAGAGTGGCATCTTGAAGGTGGTAATGGGTGTGGTGTGAAAGTGGCGTGTTGGTGAGATTTATGGTGTAAGCGCGGGTTGTGGTCGTGTGTCGACTCTTGTAATCTCATCAGGAAGGAACAGTCCCGATCGAAGTGAGTAACAACGGCGAAAAAAAAGAAGATGGAAAAAAGTTGTGTGAAGGGTTTGCCGGATGGAAGTCGAGACTCTAATAAGAGAAGAGAGGGAAGGGGCGGTCCAGCATCAAATCCGAACGATCGACTCTTATCGCGATGGGAGGAAGTCGTGCTCGGTCGTCCGGTCGGGTTCGGACTGGCTGCTGCGGTGAAGGGAGCGCCTTCTAGGTTCAGGGTGAGGTGGATTGGATTTGGGCAGGGGCGGGAAGCTGCAGCAGCAGATTCACCAGGGTCGTAGTTCGGGTCCACGTCTGATACCGCTGTTGTTGCTCTCGGGTTGCTCTTTCCGTCTGATGCGGCTGGGTAGTCTAGAACGCCAGTCGACTTGGCGGTAACCGTCTGCGTTGCAGTTGGGACGTTTCGCTGCGCGTGTAAGGCGATTCTAGAAAAACGGTCCGAAGACGTTTAATATGGGAGAGAGAAGACAATGGCAGCGGCGGCAGGCAGTCTTGATGGTCTCAGAATCTGCGCAATCTAAGATAGAAAAAAGCGACAGAAGCAAGGACGCGTCTGGGCGAAGATGAACCGGAACGGAGCCCTTTGATGGTTTTTATCAATGGGTGAAAAAATAAGACTATCCTAAGGCTATTGCATGACTCCCATTTGATAGTACCAAGGAAAAAACCACCAAAAAATGAGGCAATGAAAATTTCTCGGGTCCGGTTCCTTGCCGCCTGCTCCTGCCATTTCTCACCGTTGACTGGCTGCTAACACCTCACTAAACCGTCCCGTCCCCTAAGAGCATGACACAAGTCGCCAAGCGGTCAGTGCCAGGCCTTTCGCTGGCTCGATCTTGAGCCCATCTTTGATTCAATATCCGGGTGCTTCCCTGGAAATCTGGCCATAATTGGACGAAAAACACAATCTCTCGTTTCCAAGAAAAAACAAAGCACCCATTGACTGATATCAAGTCAAACGAATAGGGGACAGGAGCGGCCCGTCAGTGGCATGTCAGTGAGCTGTTTCCCCATCAGGCCAGAAACGATTAATAGTGGGGCTCTTAACCACTGACTGCCACCACCGGGAACAACGGGCGCCAGCGAGGAAACAGCGCAGGCCGGAGGCAAAACACAGGCACATTCTGACGTCGGAACAGCCTCATTTCGAAGAAACGGAAAGCCACCTCTCGGGAGCGCCCTTGCCTTGGCCCCCCTTGGCTTGCAACCCAAGGCAGGCCCCGTGGACTACGATGAATGGGCCGTGGGGGTCCATTGAGACGAGACATTCATGCGCGACACCGCACGCAGTAGCATCCAATGTTGCTGAATATGACTGGACCGCCTACTTCACACAGCCGCCCGTAACAAAATGCCCGATTTCTTGGTTCACTCGCCGCCAAACGCAAACACGCACGTCGTCCGATGCTCCGCTGAGCCTCGACAATCTCCCGTCGCCTGAGCCATCTCATTTTATGTGTCTCGTCACATCGTACCAGATTGTTTGATCTAGTTGCATCTCAAGGCCAAGGCCAAATCTCCCAATCCGCCATTCGCGCACCATCTCGAGTGACCATTTTTACTACTACTACGACTCACGATGCACTGCCCTCAGCGAATGAGCCAGGGTTTCCCACCGACACGTGAATGGGTCTTTAGAAAAGCATCTCTGTTGAGGTTCCACGCTAGAGTGATCATATACATACACACTACCTAGTCTTCGTCGTCGTCGTCGTCGTCGTCGTCGTCTTTGTATGCGTAAACAAGAAGATCAGGCACTCTTTGACTAACTCCAGTGTCGGCGTCTTCAATCGGTGGATGTCGATTGCTTAGGTCGCCCTCATAGACCTGGAGAGTATGGACCCCATCCACAAATGTAGCCTCACTTCACCACAAACTAAGTCCACGTCTAAAACATTGAAGAATAATAGTAATAATAGACTGAATACCGCTATCAATATTCTAACCCACCTTAATCTTCCGACACCAGTCCCGCCCCTTACTAACCTGCCACTCACACAACCGCACCTCCATCAAAATCCCCAAAAACCCAGCAATGCAGATGCCCCCGCTATCACTCACACTCGTCGCCGCCAGACTGAACTCCCTATCCTCCGCCGGCACCTTCTCCATAATCTCCGCAAACGTATTCACATACACCGCGCCGCCCAGCAAGCCCTCCCAGAACACAATTACAAACACAACCCACACCCCAGGCAGGAAGTCAAACATGGCCTGCGCCGTCAGCAGCCCCAGGTTGCCCACCTGCAGGAACGAGGGCAGGTATAGCCTATGGATCCGCAAGAATGGCGTCGACGAGCGCGAGATGAAGACGCCCAGTTGGTACAGGAAGCCGTACATCGGGTAGAACTCGCGGAACTCCTTGAACGGCGACGACTCGAGCGGGAACAGCAGCGTCGGCGCCACGCCCTGGTTGATTGTGTACTCAGCGACGTAGACCAGCAGCAGCGGCAGCATGTAGGGAAAGAACAGCCGCTTCGCCCTCGCCAGGTTCGCGTCGAACGAGTGCGTCGTCACGTCGTGGTGCCTGGTGGCTGAGTACGCCGTGCTCGTCACGCCCGGCCCTGGCGCCAGCAGCGCCGACGATGCAGCGTCCCGCGGCATCTCCTCCACGTCGTCCTCCTCGAGGTCGTCCGCCCCCGGCACGGCGGTGTACTCCTCCTCCTCCTTCCTCCCCGCCCGCAACGGGCCCTTGGGCAGCACCAGAAAGAAGCTGACAAACATCACCGACGGCAGACTCGCCGAAAACAACAAACTATTCCTCACAGAAAAGCCCCACCAGTCCGTGAGCGCAACATACAGCCCCGCGCCCACCAATCCGGCCGCCCCCGTCCCGCTGCCCCAGCCCGCGAGGCTCATGGGGCCGTAGTAGTGCGTCAGCCCGAGAAAGCTGAGCTCGCCGCCGCCGGAGGAGAGGCTGGCGATGCCGACGCCGACCATCTTGACGGCGACGGACTTGTCGGGAGGGGTGAGCGCGACGAGGAGCATGCCGCTGACGGAGAGGGCGATGAGGACGCAGACGCGCGCGGCGTAGGGGACGCGGTGGATGAAGTAGGGCGCTACGAGCTTCGTGAAAAAGGAGGGCAGCACGTCGGCGAGGAGGACGACGCCCTTGGGCACGGCGGAGCCGACGAGGTCCTGCGCGGCGGAGAGGATGATTACGTAGAGGACGTTGTTGATCAGGCCTGTTTTTCTCGCGGAGTTAGCAGGAAGGGGGTGACGACGCAGAGGGCGGGCGACGACGCACCGAGAAGCCAAAAGGCCACGACGACCTGCGTGTCGGCGTGGCGGAACATGGCGGACAGGCGGGCGCGGTAGAGCGCCCACGACGAGGACGGCGAGCCGGGCATGGGGAGGAGGCCGGAGGACGAGGGCGAGCGGCCTGTCATGTCTGGCGCGGCGAGGTCATTGAGAGCGTGTAGGTCGGGGAGTTTGTTGCTGTCGGGGCGGGAGACGTCTTATCGCGAACTTGGAGAGTTTGGGTGGTGCGGCTGTCGGTCACAAGATAACGGCTGTGTCTCAGCGGAGGGCCCAGTCAGCGGTCGGAGGTTGCCGTTTCGGCAGGCTGGGACCCCCTAGCTGGGTGAATTGTCACTGGCCCCACCCTTTTGCGCTGGGAGTCCCTGTCAGGTCCACGCGACCCAGCGGGTGTGACTGCACCGTGACGTCGTGGCTGGAGGCCGTTGATCGTCGGAGCTCGTCCCGAGTCAGTTTTGCGATGGCATCGTATTTGATGATTGCGATGCCACGAGTGAAAGCGCATGGGAATCACGAAAGCACTTCTTATGCAGCTTGTTTCTGGTTGAATCGGGTATTTCTTGTCCCGCGTATGTATGTATGAAGGTAAATAAACATCTCTACGCTCGCTGTCTCTCATGTCGCAAACCCACTGCCGCTGCAAAATGTCATATAGCTCCCTCCTTTTGTGGAATATCAATAGAACCGTAGCGAAATCATCACAACGCCGGGCCGTCCCATGCGTCTCTGTTCATCCGCATAAAGTACGACTGCTTGTGGGAAAAGGCAATCTCGCGCTCTTTGGCGAAGCCCGCACTCTCCAGTAGTCGGAGGAACCTATCGTCCGTTAGTACCAATACTACACACCCAGAACCAAAGGATCTCTCACCTTGTGTTGTCTATCCGCGGCTCCAAGCAAACATTCATCGTGCGGTAGTCGTCCGTTAAACACCAGTGAACCAGGCTGGACAGCCACGCCGGCACGCGGCCGCGGGCCCACTCCTCGCCGATGAAGAGGTGGATGCCGCGGTCCCAGTTGTCGGCGTCGTTGCCCAGCTTCTGTCCCAGGATATCCTCCTTGACCCAGTATATCTCAAAGTAGCCAAATGGTATGCCGTCCCACATGCCAATGACGGGGAATGAGTGCTTCGAGCTGAGGGCGTTTTCGAGGAAGTTCGGCGTGTAGTCGCCCCAGAACTCTTGCACTCGTGGGTTCGAGAGCCACTTTTGAAGGAGCGCTGTGTCGGAGAGGCTCATCAGGTGCAGGTTCTCCGCCGGCTTTGGGCCCACTGGTCCGAGGTAGGGCACGGCGTTCGGGGCGAGTGAGGCGACGCGGAAGGAGAGGTATTGGCCGGCGCTCGGGATGTAGCGGGAGTAGAACACTTCGCCCATACGGCCTGGCTTCGGGCGGATGGGGTGCCGCACGCCGTCTGTGACTGTGTACATCAGTGGCGCTGGGGGGTAGTACGTCGGCAGGTGCGAGCTCGAGTAGAACGGGCCGATGGGGAAGCTGGGCGTGATGATCGCAGACATGGGCGGCGGGCCCCCGGGGAGGTCGACGTCGAAGCGGCTGCCGGTCGACTGGTGCGGCGTATGTATGGGTGTGTGGTGGCGTGAATGGGTCGAGTCGGCGCGGACAGGCGATGTCGGTCTGCTGCCCGTCGGCGAGTCTGATGGTCCTCCGCCGCCCGTCTTCTGCAGCGTGAACAGGAACAAGCGACCGGGTATCTGCCAGAACATCTTTCGCGAGACAAACATCTGCGACCACTCCTCCCCGTTGTCCTCCAACCTCGTCCCAACGGCTGAGTCCAGCGAGGCAATCAACCCCATGCGCTCCAACTTGGGTATCAAGTTCCGCCCGCGCAAGACGCCGTCGCGCTTGATATTTATGCGCCACTCGCCCTTGGGACGGGCTGCCTCGGGAGTGAGTCGCGAGGCCTCGGTGACGAGGTAGGGAGAAGGTCGGGGCTGGTGGAAATACCAGTACAGGGTCACCCAAAGCATCATGGCAATCTGGCGGGTGGGGCTCGCGGCGGGCTTGAACTCGGTGCTCGAGGGCTGAGAGATGGACGAGATGAAGAGGTTGTCGTTTTGCAGCGTCGGCTGCTTGAAGCTGTGGATGTGCCGGCGGGCGCGCTCATCGTCGCCGCGGTCGCCATTGACGGCGGCATCTCCAAAGGGCTCGGGGTCGTTGTCCTCGGTGTTTAGGACGATGGTCCAGCCGATGGGGAACGGGTTGTTGTGGGTGTTGAGGTCGTGGGACTTGAAGAAGAGGCCGGCGAAAACGGGGGTGACTGTGAACTTTTGGCCGTCGGGCAGGTGGATGATTTGGGGAGGCATGGTGGTGGGCTGGCGTGCTCTGGGCGGTGGAGCGGAGCTACGACCCTTAGGGCAGTCGCCTTGGGAAGCCTGGTGGAGGGCAGGAGAGGGGCCAAGGAGGGGTCAGAACGCGGTGAGTCGGTACGGTTGCACGAGCGAGATGGAGGTGTGCGCTGAGGTATTTCTCGAGGTGGGCGTCTCCAAGATGCCGTCGTCGGGGATTGCTGATGTGCTCGGAGCAAAGGGAGAACCTTGGGAGAGAGGAGAGACACTGCCGAGAAGGGAGATGGCGGGGTCGAGAAGAAGCAGCTTCTTTAGCGACAATAAGTACTTCCAGACGCGACAACGCGAACAACAGACGTCGTGAGATGTCCCCAGGCACATGCGGCTATCGTCAGATCCGGGGAGGCCTTCTAGAACCCCTCCTTCGGTCGGAGATGGCCATTCATCGCCGTCGCATATCGAGGGTAGGGAGATTCTGACAAACAGGGGCCTGTTGGTTGGGTGGTGGCATGATGATGCGTCAATCATGTGGGGTGAAGCTCTCCCGCTGGCGGCCGCGGCGGGGTGCCACCAACCGATAAGGGCATGGTACAGGCCTGGAGCTTGGGTGACGGTGGCTCCTCGCCTGTGAGCTTTTCTGTAGCGCACGTGTTAGCGTCTTGGGTGTGCTGGCTGGTTTGAATGCGTGCAGGCTGATGCCCGCACCGCTCGGTGAGGCCGACCCATTCCGTCTTCACCAGGACACACCGGCAGAGGTGGGCTGTTTGCCAAGGTGACGGGGATACCAAGTGAAGAGGTTGCATTGGGGGCCCCGGGAGCTGAAATTTCAATTCAGCATTCTATTCGGCCTGACTTTTTAGCATCTACACACCAACACTTTCCCGTTCACATCGCCAGTAACAGCTCATGACGGAACATTTGGACGCTTATTACTATCGCTGTCTATCATGCTCGAGATGCAACGGTAAATAACACCATATACTGTATCGGGGTATCGCACTGGAAAGAGGCAAATGCTCTACGACGCCTTCTTGCTGTCGTCGCCCTCTGGTTCCTTTTGCCCCTGCTTCTTCTGATCTTTGCGCTCACGCGCGCGATCGTCTTTGTCGTCCTCCACGTCCTCCTCGTCGGCCTTCCGTCGCCGGTCCTTGCGCTCCTTGTCTAGCACCTCCTGCACCTCCTCGCCGCCGAGGTCCTTGGTCTCGTCCCAGTCAACGTCGTACTCGGTCGCCACCATCTTGATCTCGCGTCGCAGCGAGTTGGCCTCGTGCACGAGCTGCTCCCACGTCTGCGGATCGAACCCGCGCGCCTGGTAGAGCGCCTGCTGGCGTTTCGATACCGTCACGTTGAGCGCCGCCTTGTAGCTGAGCTCCCGGCTAATGTACAGAAACCAGAGGTAACCGCCCATGATGGTGGTCAAGCCCACCAGATATGTCACCGGTTCGACGAGATCCCAGCCAAAGTCGGTGTGGAAGGTCACATAGTAGACTACTCCCCACCAGCCCAGCAGCACTCCGAATCCGCCCTGGGCGATGCGATGGGCGCCTCGGTGGGCGAGGGTGTCGCATTCTTGCTTCAGTTTTGCAAAGTGCTCGACCTTGTGCGACAACTTGCGCAAGCGAATTCGCATGTAGTACGTTCGGTCGTTGAAGCTGGGCACCGCCACGCGAAGCTCCTGGTCGTAGCCCTCGATACCGATAGAGAACTCCCGTCCGCGCGCAGCGTCTCGAATAAAGTCACCGACCTCGGTGCTGCTGCTCCAACGAACCCAGTTGGTATCGTCCTGCTTCTTCTTTGGGCCTTCACGCCCTAGGCCGGAGTACGAGGCAACGTTGCCCTCTTGCTTCTTCGTCGCAGCCTTGTGCTGGTCAGTTCCTTTATGGTCCGCCTCGGCTCGGAAGTATATCCTGGGGATTCGCTCCCGACGGCCGTCGTCAATTGGTGGGATCTCGGCCTGGAGCAGCCTCTCGAGGTAGGACAATGGCTGCTGGGGGTGGACGAGGAGTGCAAGGGGAGCAATCTCCTCCTGTTCACCATCTTTCTCGCCGTCTTTCTTGGGGGCTTGTGTGATCCTCGTTTGCTCGGCGTAGAATGGCAGCGGCAGGATGAGCTTCAATAACCGGGTCGGAGTTGTGAGCAGGCGTCCTAAAGCAGGGTCAGCATGCAAGGCACTGCAAGCTTAAGCATTCGAAGCGGGAAGTCGGTGCGTACCGCGGGTCTTATCACCGTTTGTCGGATCTTTGGACGACTCCCGCTGCTCAACCTCATTGCCAGCGCGGTGCCACGGCCTCTCCTCCTGCTTCCTCAAGGCAAACAGCTCAGCGCGTTCGTCCTTCTCCTTCTGCTCCTCCTTGTGCATGTCCTCCCTGTTGGTCTTCTTGGCCTTGGCGTTCTCGACCTCATCCCGGCGGTTTGCAGAGTGACTGGCCGCGCGTCCGAAAGCTGGGATGCTTCTGCCGATGCCGACTCCGGCTGGGCGGAAAGCTTGACACAGCGAGCCATGCTTGGTACCGATGCTGGCAGGCAATTGAAGGCATACGCGACGGAACGCGTAGCTCATTTCGATGTGTGTTGGTCTGAAATGGTGGGTTGGGCCGAGGTGTTCTCTTTTTTGAGTTTTTGTCTACTTAATCACAGTGACATTTTCGTTTCCAAGAGGAGGACAAAATGCAGCAGCAACCCAAGCTGGAAACAAGTATCCCGTCGCTCCTGCTTCCAGCTTTCATTGCTTCCTGCTGGTACGACGCCGCCATGACGTCAATGTCGGTGGCTGTCACGTGTGGCTGTGGCTGAGCCAGCCCAGAGTAGCTTCAGCTCCAGCTCCAGCTCCGATGAGCTCGATGCAGCTGCAGGTCCCACGTCTTGGTCTTGGCCTTGACAGCTCCACCCCGGTCTCGTTCTGTGGGCTTCAAGCTTGATTCCCGGCACTTTCAGCATCATCACTCATCACCGCCCAATCTCCGTCGAACCCCAGCTGCAGCAACACGTCGCCATCGGTTGCCCTTCCACATTCCGAATGCCGGACGTCAATAAGCGCTGATCAGAGGCCTGCGACACGCGACTAGCCCCTCCATGACTGGGGCCACTGAAAGCCGCCTGTCATCATCACCAACGTCAGTCGTACAGCTGCATCATCATGCTTCAGTGCCAAGAGAAGACTTCTCTGAACAGATCAGAATCAATGGGCGAAATGATTTCTACGGCTTGGCAACCTAGGACCCTCACACCACTCAGCTGGTGTATTGCCATTTGACCCTCTCCCACCCCTCCCGTCTCGCGACGCGGGCACCGAAACCCTCGCCATTGTTGATCGGCCGGGCTGCCGCAGCCGTCATCGGACACCGGTCCATCTTTGGGGCCGCAGTCGTTGCCTTCTTGTTCTCGTCCAACGTGGTCACGTCAAAGCCCAACAACAGCGAAGCCACGAACCCCAGGTTTTCAGCAAACGCAAAGTTGCGTCCCGGGCACAGGTGCCTTCCGCCACCAAAGGGGATGAATGCAGCCTTCTTGACCTTTTCCATCATGATATCTCCCTCAGCCTTCTTGTCTACGAACCTGTCCGCCACGAATTTTTCGTAGTCTGTTCCCCAGACCCTCTCCAGGCTATGCGAGACCTCGTGGGACAGCTGAATGTTGCAGCCTTCCTTCAAGAGGTACGTGTTACCCCTGCCGTCGGAGATGGTCGTGTCCTTCATCACACGGCGATGCCCCATGCCCTTGTTCGACAACCGGATGGACTCGCGGTAGCAGCTCACAAGCAACGGGCACTTTTCGTCAATCGCACCGATATCGATGGTCACTTCGCCGTTCGATCCGTGCGTGGCAATCGCTGCCACTTCTTCTCGGAGCTTGGCTACCAGCTCGGCGTTGGTGAAGACATGCGCAACAAACCAAAACAGAGTCGGGATCGTGTTGGATGTGCCCACGTGGAGGAGGGCAATCTCGAACGTGCCAACTTCCCTATCAGGGATGCCGTGTTTTCGGAGCACGTTTGCTCGGTTCTTCACAATTTGCGCCGCCTCCTCGTGGTCATCCTCTCTTGCTCCGTAGTAATCGCTCAGCACCGCCTGAAGTTTGGCGCGGGCTTGGTAACATCTCTTCGCAATAATGGACGGGAAGACGCCCAGCATAAGCAGGCCCAAGCCCGCATCAAAGGCCCTGGGTGATGTCAGTCCAATCAAGCGAGACACGCCGCAGGTGAACTTACCAAACCTCTTCCATCAAGCTAGCATCCTTCGCAAGCGGGTTCGCAGGCCCATACAGCGCCTCAGCCGTCGCCAGAGTCATCAAGTCCCTAACCCACAAGAAAAAGTTGGTGGTCTCAAACGCCTCCCCAGCCGGAATCTCTTCCAGCACCTTAGCCACGTATCTCAACGCATTCGCATTCATGCGTCGCACGTTCGTCGGCGTCATTCCCGCGTGGATCCCGTCAAAGAACTCGGGCATCAGCGTCGAATCCCGCAGAATCTTGAGCGTATCATTATCGAACCCCAGCTCCCGCTGCGCAAACTCGAGAGCAAACGGCTCGAATGAGAGGTCCTTGTTGCGATGCACAGCCTGTCCCAGCATAGGACACCACACGCCATACACCTTTCCGCCCAGGATAGGCAGTGTCGCGATCCGGAAGCCCCTAGGTCTGCATCACATACATGATCAGCTCCGAGTTTCTCAATCGCGTCAGGCCCACCCCTCATTCGCCATGGAAACTTACTCAAGAAACTTGAAATAATGACTCTCGTGCTTAATCATCCCAATCAAGTGCCCAATCACAGGAATCGTGGGCTTCATCAGCGGCGGCTCCCGCTCCTCCACCGCAGGCGACGACAATCTGCTCACCAGCACCAGAATCGCCAGGACCGCGGCGAATGTCGAGTACAGCACCGGCGACCTCTGCACGTCCTCCGCGAGGAACGCGAGGAAGCTACCTGCCTTGGCCGTCCCGTTCCCCGCCAACTCTCCAATCACGGCGGGGGCTGCGCTGGCCATGATTCCGTCGTCTCAACTCGTATGCGTTCGTGACCTGGGATGAATTTCGGAGATGGGATGACTGAACCTTTCCCGGAAATCACAAGACTGCGAATGCTTTCTTAACAAAAGAGGGGGTTTGCGGACGGCTGCATAACATATACCCGACGAACAACAATCCCCCCTCCTCTTCATCCCGCCCAGAGACTCGGATTTCCCATCCCAAAAAGAAGATTAAATTCATATTTGCGGGCGTTTTACGTCAGAATTTAGCGCTGAATCCTTTCTTTTTTGACGACTCCGGTTTAGACCTACGCGCCGGTTGCCCCTTGTCTCAATCTGTCCAAGAGCTCAAGGGTAGCGCGGCGTCACTGCTTGGGCGCTTTCGGGTCCGCAATCCTGCAGAAAGGGGACCTGGCCAATTGTGTTTGTTGCATTAAGAAGTGCTTGATTGGGGATGGTGTTCCTTGGGAGAGCCGTTTGAGTTGTGGCTGTCGTGGAATGGGTGCCTGGCCTGCCGTGGTGGGTTCAGGGACTTTGGTGGAAGGAGGGTCTTTTGGCGGCCATGGAATCGGTTGAATAAGGTACCAGGGTAGGATCCGGGCATATGGGTACGGACATTTCCAAACGTGGGACGGCAGTCGGGTCCGGGCCGGCGTAGGGTTCTGCCCCATGTGTCTCGGAGTGGCCCCGTGCTTTCCTCCGTCTTTCCACGACTTCTAAACATCAAGGCGTGTGATTCCAATACCTCCAATCCGAATCTTCAAGTCAAAACTGTTCAACTGCAGAGGCTTATCTCGTCTCTTCAGGAAATAATCGAGCAATGCGGCTGGCCGTGTGCTCGGACTACACGACTCGAATGCGAGCGAGCCAATGATGAGCCGGGGGGGACATCCTCTAGAAGTCGCGGTCCACTTAGCTGAACTCTGTCCATGCTTGAGGCTGTTGGGCTACAGTCTGATATTTCTTGCGTTCGTTTATCTACTTTCTGCTCTCCTCCATAGAGTGCAGGGACATTTCGACAAGCGCAGAGAAGGTACGTGTACAGCGGAGGGGCTGGCCTGCAGGCATTCTTTACCACGAATGCTTTATAAAGGTCCTCATGGCTTCTTTATGAGGACTTGTCGCTACTAATATGGCCGATGTGCGACAGTATTGACTTTGAGCGTTGGTATCAGGGCGGCAGGAGGCGTAAACAGTGGTAGCAGACCTGTATGTCTCTTGCACCAAAAAGAATTCTTGGCCTCCGGTCGTGAACGTAGAGCCTCCACCACACCGTCAGTTCTACGAAGCATCCCAAACACCATGACGACCACCAGCGTCGTGATATTCGACTTCAACGGCACGCTCTTCGACACGCACTCGTCCATCGGAGAAACAATCAAGCTCACCTTCGCCTCCTTCCTCCCATCCACCCCGCCGCCCGCCCTCGACCAGGACCGCTTGATCGCCGAGTACCGCCCAGGAGCACAGCCAATCGCTCATCCGGGCGTTCCCCGGGGCAGACCAGGTCCTCTCGAGCCTGCGACAGCGTAAGATCCCCGTCGCTATCGTAAGCAATAAAGGGGTGCAGGCCGTCCGCGCGGCGCTGCGGAATAATTCCCTTGATGGGTATGTGCTCAAGGATTTGGTGGGGATGATAAGACGCCCGGTGCGACGAGGAAGCCTGATGTTGGGAGTTTTACGGACGTGCTGGTGCCGAAGATGCGTGAGGCTGGGCTGGCTGATGCGGTCGCCGATGCGTCTAAGGTGGTGGTGGTTGGGGATACGGTTGCTGATATCCAGTTTGCTCGTAACATCAATTCGGGGCAAGGGCGTGCTGGGCGCGGTATGAGTACGGTGAGCGGGTTAAGTATGAGGAGCTGAGATCGGAGTTCACGATTGACAAACTCATGGATGTGATGACAATTACCTAGGCGTAGCGGTTCTTGTACATAATTACACACCACCCGATGAATCTTTCAATAACACGGCAGCACCAGGACCAGGTGAGAGGTGGACTTGTGGCTTTACCGCGCAATCTCCTTCCCCCATTCCGAACACCGACGAAGTATTCAAAGATCCTATATACAACTTCAGTGCGCGGTTGTTAACTAGCTTGCGAGACTTGGCCCTCAACTGTCGTCAACCAAAGCCGATGAGATTGGATGCTGACCGAGACACAGATTGTTTTGATGTGACCCAGTAAGTCCACCGTCCCAAGCCAGTTGGTGCTTCAAGACTGTCAGCAATCAACGGCGATGTGAAGCTTGGCGGCTCAATTGGATGAGTGGGATATTGGGGGTGTCTTGCTTACGGGGAACCGTTCTTGGGTAATCCGGAGCAGAGGTCTTGTGTCACGGGAATTTTCAGCGCGTTGTACAAGAAACACCACTACTTGCATGCCTTCTTTGTGATGACAATTGACGACACGGTCAGAATATGTGCTTTTGATCCCCTGCTACGCTCACAGGGCTAACAGATACTGGTAATTGAGCCACCTAGGCAGATGTGTACTCTACCCTTGAAACTTGACGCCAGTGGGGTACTCCAAGCTTGTGGGGTACTCCAAGCTTGAATTTAGATTGGATCAAAGAACTGATGAATATAATTGGATTGGTCGTCGTTTATCTTCCATACTGTACAAAGACTGAAAGAAAATAAAATTAAGAAACCTAGCCTTGCATGTTGCTCTAACTTCATCGCCGTCCCTCATCTCGTGCTAGCTTATCGTCACTCTGTCCACGAACCGTCTTCAGATACTTGTTGAAAGCCGCCGAAGTCTTCATTACTTGATCCAAATGCTCCCATTCCAACCGTTCCTTCCGGTGCTTGGCTAATTGCCTTGCCGTGAGTAAGGCATTACGGATTTGCCTGCCGTTCATCTCCTCCGAGGCTAGCTGATCCAAATGGCCTTCAAGCTCGGAGATGTTCGCGTCTTCATCTGCAGAATCCTCGATCATTTCGAGGAAGTTTTGCCAAATGGCTTTGCGAGACTTCTTGGAAAGATTTTCGTAATGGATTGCCACCTGGATACGTGATTTGAACGCTTCGTCGAAGTGGCCAACGCGGTTCGACGTGAGGATGAGGATACCCTCGTAGTATTCCAAGGTTCGCAGGAAAACTGCCCTTGCATGGTTAGACATCATGAAAGTAAACTGATGGATGGCCAGCATGGGGTTTTACGCTTACCTGACACCAAACTGTTTCTTTGCAAGTCGGCAAAAGTTCTTTCTTCCAAGAAGACATCGGCTTCGTCAAGCAAAAGGACTATGAAGCATCAGAAATGATTCGTGGGAATGACCGTCAAAGCGTACGTACCGCAGTCCCATAGCTTTCCCAGGTATAGAACCGTAGACAGATACTTCTCGACATCTTGAGCCTCAGTACCAATGTCACCGCAGGTAACACGGTACAGTGGCTTCTCTGCGATTTCTGCCACACTGGGAGAGCTTCAGTAAGAACTAAATTCCCTTCAAAAAGTACATGTCTCACCTCTCGGCTGTCAAGGTTTTCCCAGTACCTGGGCTGCCATGAAGCAGAACTATGAGACCGTTCCCCTTCCCAGTTATGATGTCGTCCATCCTTTTCGTCGCTGTTTGAATGTCTACGAGAGCATATATCATCTCCTTTATCTTTTCTTCAAGTACCAGACGCTTGAATGCGTTTTTGTTCCATGCGACCGGATGGAATTTATCCACGTCTAGGTCAACTAAGCAAGCGTCAGCATCCCAATACTCGGACTTTTGAATATTTCCTTATCGAGGTCATTCTTACACCATTTTTTCTCTTGGAGATTGAAACCGTGCACGGTCGAAGGAAGAAGCAGAATCGTTTCGGGTGTTATCTTGTGCTCCCACTTGATTTTCTTTGGCCAGGCATAGTTGATTGGATGCTCGGTCGGGACATGAAAATCCGGCTTTTTTGGCGGATGCATGAGCTGATGAGTAGCTAGGTCTACCATGAATCGAGATGAGTTCTTGGTTGTTTTAGCAGCAGACCACATGAGGAATCTCCGTCGAGATAAACTGAAAATTGAAGACTTACGTAGCAATGGTCGTGCCGATGATCCCAGCCAGTATAGCACCCGTAGTATCGTCCTTTCATTCTCCAAAATGCTTCGCCCCTTGAAGTCAATTTTTCAATGTCTTCCTTTTTTCCGAAGCTGACCGGATGGACCTTGAGATTTGATATGTTGACGTCTTCATTGCCAACAGGGCTCATGGTATCGCGCCACATCCTTTGTCGTAAGCTGCCTTCAACATAGAAATACGACCATCCCGTGAATAATACGTCTTCCTTTGAAATCTCTGGAGAGTCGTCCAACGCATAGACATTGAATTCGTCAGAGGCCTTCAAAATGACCAACTGATTCGGCTGAAAAAGCTTCTGCAGATGGCGGGCGTTGACGACCCCCCTATCGAACATTCTGGCTGCTTCTTCATACTCCTCTGTATAGTTTTCATTCAAAAACTCTATCAAAGGCGACAGGACTGGCCCGTATGTGTTGTCATTGGCAAGCTCGATAAGCCTCTCTCTATGATGAAAGAGAAAAGGATAAGGAGCATCCATTCCCATCCCATCTTCAACGATATAGTGACTTTCTTCGAAGGTATACTGTGCGATTTGGTCAAGTCCTTTTCGGAGCAGCGGTGATACGATGGCCAATCGCTCAGATCTCTGTGATGGTTTGTGATCTGTTGAGTCGTTTTGGTGATGAGATACCTCTCGAGCCTGATCTCTGACGCAAGTGTGTTCTTTGATGACGACGAAACAGAACTCTGGATGCTCGGATAAATAGGAATCCAAGTTTTCTATCTCATCCCGGGCTTCGAGTCTCATCGCGAAAGAAGATGCAGACTTGGTTTTGGCTACCGGTTCGTCTTCGAAAAGCGTCATGCTGTGATTGTGGCTTGAATTGCTGCAATAAATTCGATGGATAGTTTGAAAGCACGGAGCAGCTGGAACGTTCGAGTCGTTCCGTTCGTCATATTCACTCTCGGTGACGTTGCTCTCAGAGTCAGCATTTTGGTAGCTGACTTCAGCTTCCAGCATCTGAATTGTGTCTAGAAGGTAGGATATGAAGTTTGAAACGTCTCTGGACTCGTCCAGAACGTCGAGGTTGAGGTGTTGCTCTGCGAGCGTGCTCAGCGATTCTGCAAGAGAATCTACTTTGACTGGTTTCTGATGCGTGGTTGCTAAGTGATCCGCTGCACCTTCCCCATCTCCTGGAACATTGCTAATGCCATCCCCAACAGGTTGAAACGTGTTTTCTGCGCTTGAATCTTGGAGGCTGTGGCTGGAAATTGGGTCACGGGTTTCCTGCAACTTTCTTCGCCATTTGGAGCTCCTTGATGACTTCAATTCTGAGTAGCTCCCGTGTGGCCTACTCTGTCTGCGAGGCGGCTCCATCCAAGATTGTGACGCGCGTGAGCTCCCAAGGGGCCTAGGTCTTGTGTTCTTTGGTCTTATTGGAGGGGGTCTTGGAGGAGGCAGTCCTCTACGCGGATAAATTCCCGGGGGGGGGCCTGGATCCTGGAGGGAGCCGAACAGGCGGGGGTGGGGGCGGCGGCTGAAGCCCCCTTGGCATTTTACCTGAAGACGGCGTGCCTGAACGAGGTGTGAATCCCTGGGGCGATCTGGACATACTTCTGGCGGAAGTTAACGACATTAGGTCATGCCTTTGGGGTCCCGGCTGATTGGGCTCATGCAGATTGCTTAAAGGCAAGGCTTTTTGCTTCGTTAACAAACTACGACGTTTCCCACGGAATATTTACCAGGCTTACTCGAAGAATCAAATTTTGCGTTCAGGCTTGAAAGTGAATCTTGTTCTTCTTGTGCGATGTCGACGTCGCGTGAAATTGTCGAGTTCATGAAGAGTTTGCTGCTGATTTCTCCTTCCAAAATCGCGTCGTCGGTATCTGAGCTGGAACCCATCCGCCCGGGAGAGTATCGCCTACTCATGATGGACAATATTACTTATACCGTGTTTTGATCGTTCTGGACGGCGGTAGTCGGCCTAAACATTGCTGTCGCGATGAGAACAGGCTGATGTTTGTTGTGACAACGAGTGCGGGGTCCGCTTGTGTTGCAAGAGTATTTAGGAAGAAGGCAACACAATAATGGAAGATATGTAAGAAAGAAGTCTATCGGGCTATTGAGTGACGATCCGCGAATAGTTCGATGAGTTTGTGTCACAGACGGTGGTCCTCAGATTAGATGAACATGCGAAAACCTGTGAGACAGCGCTCATGCTGACACGAGCAGGAGATGACGGAGACAGATGCCTCGCTCAGGCAAGCTGTTATCAGTCGATCTTACACACGTGACAGATACACGAGACCACTTGCATATCAATATTCTAATGATTGGGCGGAGGCCGCCCACGTCACATTCAACCTGGTGTGGCGCAGCAGGGCTCACAGTTCGGGCTCCCAGATGCCACCGCTCAGTACCACCGAGCTTGACCTATTTGATTGCGCTGTGTTCTGTAATTGCCCTGATCATTTGAAGCGTCTCTTGCTGCACGAACTAGAAATATAAACGTCAGTTGGGGTCTATTAGGCCATGCTAGATCTGAATCTCGCTGTAGTTTGTCGCTGCTTCCCTCGATCTGTCGCTCGAAACCTGGGTTGTTTCATCATCATCTCAACGCGCCGCCCTCTGTCTGTATATATCCGATTCTCGTTGAAAACCTCCTCGGGGTCCAGATTCGTGAATGAGCCGAGTCTCCATGAAGCGATAACCACCTTAAGGCCCCCAGTCACCTTTCGTGACACTATACCCACCATCTGCTCAATGAACTCATCCATGCTGAAGGACTGTGCCTCCGACTCTTCATGTTGCAACGCCGCTTCAATGAGGCTCATATCAATTACAACAAACAAGCGTGAGGAATTCACAATACATCGTTCGAACACGTTAAACCACGTTTTAATCGTCATGGAACTTTTAAAATGCTGGGCCGTAAGGGGGTTAGCACCTTCAACTACAAGGCCGGGGTTGACTGTGATGATTTGGGATATGAGAGATCGAAGGACTCCGGACACAGACACTGGCTCTGCTGTCTCGCTAGACACGGTTGTAGTTGATGGAAGAGCCCAAACAACTGGGTATTCGTGTTCAAGGACGATGTCGATAAAGTCTGCGGCAAAATCGAGCGCACTCGTAGTGACACCCCTCTCTTCTGCAAGTAATAGAGAGGAAGTTGAATTGGAGACCCAGAACTTGAGCCTAGATATCGCCGGTAAAGGCAATTGAGTAAAAGACCTTTGCCGGCGACGATTTCGCATAGACCGACACCAGTCCAGGCTATCGGCTGCGATTGGAATGTCCGAGATCATTACCGCTGATCGTATGGCGTCTATCTGCGTGTTTTGAAACATTTGCTTGTGTTGCGTTTGAAAAGATAGGATTGACTGGTTTTGCACTGCGCCAGAATCAGCAGTTGTGGAAAGACAATAACTTCGGGCTTTTTGTGCTGCAACTCACAAACCATCATTTCAGTCAGTTGTGCTACCGACTGGCTGAGACCATGGACCTTCACGTGAAGGTCTCTGATCTCGGCCTTGGAAAGAGCACCAGCAAGCTCGTCTACACGTATTGACCTCTCCCTGATTTCTTCAATGATTGGCTTGAAGTTCAAGCTAAAGGGCTTGACAATGGAGGCTATAGAATGTGACAATTTTCCTTTCTTATAGAACTGGATAGCCTTGATCGAGAACTCTAGGATTTTTGCATAGAGCTGAGCCACGTTCTCTTGCATTCTTGGAGTAGAGTAGAGTAACGAGTGGAGCTCGGTTCGGGGTAGTACGTCGGCGATTCGAGAGACGGCTTTTGAAACTTCCACAAGAAGCTCCTCGTAGTTGAGAACTGCCTCGGTAAGTCAGCAAAGAGCCGGTAGAGGTGGCAAGACCAGGGCCACTCACAATAAATAGAAACTTGAAAGCACCCCATGCCAGAGATACGTATTCAGGATGATGTTGCGAGAATGTGTCAAATACCGCTGCCACATGATGAGCTTGGTTCCTGGAGAACTTGGCGTAAAATAACATCGGCCTACCCCCATAGTACAATACTCGAGACGAGCATTTTGCCAGCCAGTCTCGAACCTTGGAACCCTTCGCTTTCTTTTGGTATTCTTCCAAAGCTTTGTCAAGAGCCAATTTGACATCTTGGATTGAGTTGTGTTCTCCCAGCCGTATTAATTCACGCTCGGTTGTTGTGAGCTCTTTTCGTAGGATTCTGACCGCTTCATCGTACGCGTGCTTCGCTGGATCGAACGATCTGAAATCAAGATCATTAGCTTTCGAGAGGCATGAATGCATGCTTGAGAGGGACGAACTGTTGGTGGACGCTGTTGGTATACCAGTGAGAGTAGGGGTTGCTGTCCCCACCCCATACGAGACCCGTAGACAGCAGATTAGAAGAACTGCTAGGACTTAAGAAAGGCGCGACCGTGGTGCCTCCTGAACCAGTAAGAAAATGCGCTCGCGGATCCAGTAGAGAGCGGTCGGTTGGCTCAGATGTACTACGATGCTGAAGCTGATTCATTGTTCGCTACCGAGGCCTGAGGAGCGTTGACGAAGGGCGAGCTCCGAATGACGGTGCCGTTTGTGAAATTCAAGATCTCGCGATGCTGCCTGATCCGGCGCCCCTCCCGGCCAGCGGGCGCTTCTACAGCCACATATCCGGTCAGACGTTAACCCGAGCTGCATCAAGGTTACTTGCGAGTCCGGTTCCGCCTATGGGATTGGCACGATTGGTTCTGCGTGCATGGCTGACAGCATTGCTTTGGGTGCATCTTACTGGCTCTTCGTCATGCGCATCCCGTGACACAAGACCTCTGCTTCAGGTTACCCAATAACGGTCGCCCCGCGGTAAGCAAGACACAGCCTGCTATGATTCCGTCCTGTGTTATAGTGGTTGAATCGGAGTAGAGTGAAAACAGTTGTGGATGCGAAAGAAATGCTGGTAGAGGAAAGTCCCGGTTCCATCCATGGAGAAGGTCATTGGTTACTATTCTTTTTGAATAGTATTTGGCCTTTCACGACTAGATATTTCAGTCAGACAACTACCCGGTGAAAATAATTGAGCAAGGCGCTTTACTATATACAAGAATCAAAAGTTTCAGTTATAATTGTGCCCAAAAAGACTCATCATCCCCACAACTACATCGCCCAGTTTCCGGCGACATTGAACCCTTTACTGGTGAACAAGCAGCGCGGCCTCCTGCAGCGGCGCAAGCAAGGCGTACGCCAGGGCGTTGTAGAAGAGCACGTTGCCGCCGTTCTGGCTGAACTGCCCGGTCGCCGCGTCTTTGGTAAAGAACTCGCCCGAGCGGTAGTCGCCGATGCCCTGCAGCGTGACGAGGGTGCCGTAGCCGTGAGGCTGTACAGGTGGTAGCCGATGGTCTTGTCGGGGTTGAGGTAGGCGGTGGCGTTGAGATAGTACTCGTTGATCACGGAGGAGGAGATTTGCACGGCGCCGGGCTGGACGATGCCCCTGATGGCGGAGGTTAGTGACTTATCGTCATGGCTTGCCTTCTGTTCAAGGGTATTTGCTGGCGGGTGGGCCGGTTGGGCAGAGAGGGGATGGGACTTACTCTATGACGGGGACGTTAGTGGAGACGACTTTGTTGGTGTCGACGGTGACGACAGCGGAGAGCGTTCGGCGGTCGATGGTGCTGGCTGCGCTGAGGAGCGGCAGGGCGAAGAGGGCGGCGATGGATGTGAACTTCATCGTTACGCCGAGTTGCAATGGGCAGATCAAATGACCAGAGTTTTGTTCTCTGAAGATTCGTGACTGAAGACGTGAACGATTTGTTGCTCCCTCCCAAGAAAAGGTTGAAGCAACGAGCAGCTATTTATCCAAACTTGGCCCCCCGTGTCTGTCCATCACACAATGCGTCGTGGGTTGTTGTGCCACTTCGGCCTTTCCGCACATATGTAGAAGGTTGCATTGAGCCTGCATCATGGGAACCTTTCGGAACCAAAATTCTCATTCAGAGTTTGAGGTAATATCTACGGTGGTTGTTATTCGCTGCCGCTTCACGATGTATCACAAGCCTTCCCTGCCTCCTCTCGGAAGAGTCGTTTATCATCACATCTGGTCCTCCTCAAAGGCTGCAGAAGTATGCGCCAAGACAATTCTCCATTTGTTCAAAGTGAAGTGATACATACTCGAGCTTCTTCTGGCAGCTCGGGGGAGAGAGAGCGCGGGCCGGCAACTGTCGACACAGCATCGTCCCATTAGAACCCGTAGTCAAGGATCCTGCATGTCACAATATTACATTAGTATTATGTCTTTCTGCTATAACGAGGAATTGGGGAGTCCGGAATTTGTTTACTCCCAGACTCGTCGGTGTTTTGGTCCTAGAGTAGCATATAACCTTGCACCTCTTGGTTTTGGGGAGGCGGATATTTCCCAACACAGATCTCACTTGCCAGATTCAACATCCAACTCCCCGCAAGGCCCGCAGGAGGACGTGCGTGCCGCGCGCTACCCGAGAGAATCACGGAATCTCGTCGATCTTTGCTCATGGATACTTGTTCCGGGCACGTCTCCCGATGCAGGCAGGGCTGTTGTTATGCGATGCTGGGTTGTTTGTTTATCAATCAGTGCCAGTGGAGCTGGCAGGTCGTCTGATGGTAGACTTTGGATCTCGTGTTCATCTGATTATGCTCCGTGATCGAGATCTATGGGAAAGTGTCTCATTCATCCCGCCGTTGCGGGGATTGACGCCAGGCAAAATGGTCATCATCCAATCCATTCCTACTTACATCATAAGGATGGGTATCTTCAAAAGTCTAGCAACTCGAGTAGAACGCCTCTAGCCGTGGCGATGGGTATCATTCGTATACGTGAACCAAAACGCCTAAATCTGCCGCCCCTCAGTCTCATAGCCCGAAAGTTCTTTTACCCTTCCATTTCCTTTGCCCCTCCTTTTACTTTTCCCCCTTCCGGGCCATCATCAAACCCCCCTTCTCTAAATCATCATCCCTTGATGCATTACATATAACCCATTACACATAATCATGAAATACCCCTCGTCTCTAATATCTTACTCAACTCCTTCAGCCTCACAGGCTTCGTCAAAAACAAATCGATCCCGCTCGCGAACGCCTCCTGCTGCGCGCCCGCGGACGCCAGCCCCGTAAGCGCAAAAATGTTACACCTAGATAGCCCCTGTGCCTTTTCGTGCGCGCGGATGCGCCGCGTCGCCTCAAAGCCGTCCATGACGGGCATCGAGATGTCCATGAGGATGCAGCTGACGCCGCCGGCGTTCTTCTGGAAGTACTCGACGGCCTGCCTGCCGTCCATCGCGCTGTCGAAGACATGGCCCAGCTTCTTCACGTACGAAGCCAGGATCTTGAGGTTCAGCGGGTTGTCGTCGACGATGATGAACCGCGGCTTGTTCGGCTTTGGCGTCGTCGGTGTTGCCGTGCCAGGGTGGGGGGCAGCAGCACAAGCCGGCGCTTGGTTCGGCGTCGACGGCGAGACGTCCTTGGACCGGTCCGGCAGGGCGATACCGTCTATCGGGTTCCTGATCTCCATCGCTGAGGGCGGAGTTTGATGTAGCTGCTCCTCAATGAGGGGAAACTGCGGCTCGCTGATCTGCGAGTCTGGGGAGAACACGTCATTGGGGGTGTTCACGTCCGGAAACGCCTCGGTGCTGCTGGCGCCGGGACTGCGGGCCATCTTGGCCAAACCCAGCCCCGTCAGTCCGTGGTCGCCGGCCTCTGCAGGGGTGGCTTGATCGGTGGCCAGGGATATTGCGGTGGGTGTGGGGATTACACCGGCTTGTAGCTTCGTCCACCGCCTGAAGCTCAACATCAGGACCTTTGCTAGTTTTCTCGGGCCGATACTGTACGCACAACGTCATCAGCATTATTTTGACCATTGGTACGCAGGGGGGTACTTACGGTTGTGAGATGAACTCGAAGACAACGGTTTTGCTTGTAAACCTCGGCGAGAGAGAGAGTTGGCGTGCTACGAGGGCATTTCGGCAAACGACCACGATCGGAGTGTTTATAGTGCCGTGACGTCGATCGTACAGGAGTTGGTCCAGGTGACGGTCTGTGGAGAGGGTAAGGTCGGGCAACAGCGGTTCGGCTGACTTCTCGTCGATGGCGTGCATGTGCAGCCACTCACCGCAGAGGTGTTCAAGCAGGGTACTTTCGCTAGCCACGGTTCCGGGAAGACCCTCGAGGGCTCCGGCCCCGGAGTCAGTAGGGAAGTTCAAGAATCGGACCCGAAGGCCTTTCAGCTCGGCCACTTGGGCCTGAAATTCATTGAAGCCCGCAGACTTGAAGGGACTAGAAGTTGCGGCAGAGTGAATGGCACCATGCAGCGGAAGTCGGACGGTAACTCTGGTGCCACGGTTTACCTTACTCCATACGTTAATAGTACCGCCTAGGTTGACGACAATCTGGTGTACTAAGCTCAGCCCTAAACCTGTTCCCGCGGACAGGTTATCCTCCTGGGTGAAAGGCGTGAACAGGTGATTCTGGAGGTAGTCTTCTGAAATGCCCTTTCCCGAGTCCGTCACGACAATCTCGATATGAGCGCCTTTTGAGACAGTGTTGCCCTTTGCAATGCTCTGCAGCACGTTGATGTTGACAAAGCCGGTGCTCGTGAATTTGAGTGAGTTGCCCAACAGGTTCATGATGATACGCCGTATCGCGCCGGGCTGGGTGTGGAAAGTCCACGAGATGGCCGGGCTGATGTCGAAGTTGACGGATACGTCCCCAAGGACCAATTGCACGTCTCCATGCCTGCCGGCACTCGAAGCCATGTCCTCCATCGCCTGCATGCTGTCAAGTCTCGACATGGCGTTGGGCTCGGTGTGATCAGCGGCGCGGCTGTTGGCAAGTTGGGCGACGGACATGCGCTGATAGCTGAAGCCGGCGCAGACGCTGTCCACGACCTCCTCGGCGAGCACATCGATCTCCACGTTAGAGGAAATGCTCATCATGCCCGCCTCAATGTTTGCCTTCTCATCCCGACCTCTCAGGCCACGATCGCCAAGGCTGCTTCGCCGTCGTTTTGATTGGGATCCGATGAAGTTGTTAATCTTACTCCAGTCAAGAAGATGGTCGATCGTCTCCAGGAGGGTGCGGCCGCAATTTTCCACTGAGACCAACGTCTCGCCCTGGAAGGCATCGAGGGGAGTATCGCGGAGCAGTTCCGTGCCGAGGATGATACCGTGCAGCGGGGATCGAAGTTCGTGGGAGAGGGAGCTCAGTAGGTCCGTCTTGGCCCTTTCGACTAGTCTGGTGTTAATACGATCAACCTCGGACATGACAACCGCGCCGAAAGCGCGGAGGTAGCTGAGTTCGCCTTCGATGGTCATGATGCGCGTCGCGGTCTTTGTGCAAGCGAACCCGCCGGCGAACCAGCGCTGCTTCTGCACATCCCAAAGAGGAACGACGGCTATGCTTCGGGCCCCAGAGAATATCGTAATGAGCATGTTGCCCTCGTTCTTGCGTGAGAACGGATTGCGAACCCGTCGACGGGGTTTTTGGCTGCCCTCTCCTGCGTGCGAGGATATCAGCAAGGCTTCGCTCATCTCCTTGACAGGCGTCGGTGTCGTCTTCCCATCGTCGCCCGAGAAATCGCTCGACTGGATGGAGCCGCTTTCGTCAAAGTTGAATATCTTCCCCTCGGGGTATCGTCGCAGCAGTTTTATGAGGAACCTTTCCGATATCGACGCGTGGCTTTGGGACGGCATCCTGCCGTCGATACTCGAAGCCGAGGAGGTGGAAAAGCCGAGGACCCGACATTGCGTGTCTTCCGAGCCGACATCGCTGCCCACATTGCTCACCGGACTCCCTCTTTCGTCGCTAGACGACGACGTTGACTTGTTTGACCCCGTAGACTTGCGTCTGCTGGAAGCGGTCGCCAGACCCCCAAACGAACCTATGCTGGCGTCCAAGAAAAGCACGCTCTCGACTTCGATAGCTTCGCGGATCACGTTTGCCGCTTTGGAAAAGACGTGCTGGATCTGGACGTGGTGAATGTTTTCGCCGCTTGCCCCAGAGGTAACAGTCTTTACTGACATCTCGGAAACCGACGGGGCGGCAATTGGCTCATTTGGGATGGCCGATTGTATTGGTGAGGATTGCCTTCTGGGTAACGGCGAAGCCTGCGGGCGTATCGGTGGTGAAGCAGGGCCGGCCCCCGCGGCCTCTTCCATCGCAAGCTTGTCCTCCTCTTTCTGCAGTATCTCTTGTTGGTTCTGGTTCAGACCACCCTCGAGTGATGGATTATCCTTGAACGACTCTGCATTTGGGTCCTTCTCCCAGCCAGAAATTGTGGTCTTGCCCTCGACAAAGCTGCCCACGCCGCGAACCATTCTATCCGAGCGACGAAGATTGTCCTTGTTGCGCTTTTTGTCCAGGTAATCCATGACGATGTGGGAAAGGTCACGCAAGACGCGCGCCGACACATCGTCTAGCGACTCGCGAGGCTTGTTGTCAAAGACACAAAACACGCCAATGTTGATGCCTCTATGCGAGCGGATAGGCACCCCGGCGTAGAAACGGTTCTGCGGCGCATGACGGCAAAACGGTCTCTGAGCCGCTCTGGGATCCGCTGCCATATCCGGGATCACCGTCACCGGCAACTCTCCTTCCTTGGGGACATCTTCCGTATCTGGCGATGGAGGGACGGCGAGGGCAATTTCGCATATGCCAGCAGATCTGGGAACTGCGGTGCCGGACAGGAAGAGTTGCTCCTCGTCGGACGCATCTAGCTTGACGTTTGGGGTCAGGGCCAGCGAGGGGGTCGCTTCGGCGACGATGTACTGGTACTTGCTGTCGAACAGAGATATCAACGCGCGGGTGGCATTCAGACGCAGCACGCCAAGCTCGGCAAAGGCAGTCAGAGCCGCGTCGGGGGAGGATCGCAGCTCCGACGGCGGGACGATGTTGTTGACATCGTTGTGGACGGCCTGGGCGATAAGGGAGGGGTCATATCTGTGAGGGCATTCAGCACTGTTGGGCGGCGAGCTGGGACACCAGGCGCGCTTGCGCTGTGGAACGGAAGAGGGCCACCACCCCCGCCCTGGGAGGTGATATGGAGGATCACTGATGCAGATGGCCGCTCTCGTCAAGGGCAATTATGAATGGAGAACAACTGACCTGAAAGTCTCCCTTTCGCGGCGGCTCTCAGAGACGTCACGAGCAGTGTAGAAGCTGGCCATGACGGGGAGAGTGTATGAAGCTCCTCCACGCGCAGCAGTGCACCAGCCTCAAGGAACGTGGTCGAGAGAAGCTGCGCTGCGCTGCGCGGCGGCCAATGTTGCTGTGCTGGGGAGATGTGGAATACCCAGTGCAAGGGGGGATGGCAAGAAGAGAGAGAGGCCCACCCGCCACAGCGACTGTGCGAGAGGGACTGGAACTGCAGAGGCACGGCGTGCTCGCTTGGGGCGGACCCTACTCCGAATGCGCACCTGTTAACGGGTAGTCTAGTCCAGCCCAGCCAGGCCTAGACCGTTCGATGCTGCTTCACCTCTACGTTAGCCCCGTTGCTCCCAAGGAAGGCAAGGAAGTCAAGGCGGCGGGGTTGGGGTGGCTTGTACGACTGACAGGGGAGCAGGCACACAGAGGAAAAGCGAGCGCACATCGGTGGCGATGTTCAAACGCGGAGCGGAAATGGCGCTCAGCCGAGGCATGTACCGAGGTACCTGTCGCCTAGTTTTTGTTGGTATTCCCCAAAGTCTAATGGGTCTGTGAGATGTATGGAGAGAGACAAACAGAGAGGAAAATTCATACACACCCGGTCGTCTGATTCGATGGTTTGGCGACGATTTGCAGAGACGATAGGATGGCATGCAAATCGGCCTGATGAGCGTGTCCAGTAGAAGCACGTCAAAAAGGGAGAAATCCGTTCCACCCAAGGGATTTGCCGACTTTCCCATACCCAGGCACTTTGGCTGAACTTTGCTTCTTCGGGAACTATGCAGCCAGCCCTGCCTTCGGGCCGGGTTAGGCCGTGTTAGGCCTGCCGGTCGTAGGTAGGTATTTGTCACAAACGTCTCCCAAATCGTCGGTCTTGGATATTGTCGCAATGTTCTACGTACTGCGCACTAAGGACAGGACTAAGCGCTCTGGCTGCGTTTGTCCGCCATTGAGAGAGAGTGCATATTGCTGATCATTGATCATCCTATAAATATATCGTACGCGACTTGAATATGTACCATCATCCTTTGCCCAATTTTCAGCGTCTGATGGAAATATCATTTTGGAGATATGACGGTGTAACGACAGCCAGGGTCTATGGGATTCTCAAAATCCCATCAGATCAAGCCCGAGAGTTTACTGAGCAGGCTGTGTGTGTGGTTCTTACAGCTGGGGTTGTGGGGTTCACTGCTGGACATGCTTCTGGAGAAGCCGGGATGGTCTTGGTCCAGGTTACCCGACAGTTGGATTTCCTGAAGCACTTGCCCTAAGCTTCATAACTACAGGAGTTGACAGCTATGGTCATGCCGCGAGTGCCAGGCTCTTGGGACCGAAGAGTTCTTCTCAGGGGCAACGCTGTGGCACTAGAATCGCACATAGACATTGCGTAGTCCAGATACAATTAAGCCAAGGTCAGTAACGGGAAGCTTCCGTGCCCGGTTAATTATACGGGATTGTGCGGGCGAGTATGCCGTTTGGTTTGGTTGCTCTCCGTGTTCCACTCCCACCGCGAGCTGTCGCCCAAAGAGAGGCATAGCAGCGTAGGTGGTGATACCTCTTGGTCGACACAGAGCCCCGGCCAAAACTCGCCCAAACATGCAGAAAATTTCGTAAAATGTACCTCGGCCTTGTATAAGCCGCTTTAGCATGGTGGAGATCTGTTCTGGTGGTCAGACAGTGAGAGGCTTTCCTCTGTTGGTGTGAAAACAGCAGCGTGGCAGGATGACGGCCATGGGGTCGCAGGCTCAGTTTCCCCTCCTAGAGTCCTACAGCATGTTTCTTCCGTTAACCCAATCGCTCAAAGACTGCCACACCGCCATGCCGTCTTCCCAGGCCAGCTGGATTTCGCCACAACAGCCGTGGGACTCAGCTGACGGGCAGGAGAGGCTGCGAGTTGCGACATGCGGCGTGCCGGAGACGTGCGACTCTGTGTGTCTTTGGAAAGCACGACCAGGCTGCTAAAGAGAGGGGACGCTGACTAGGAATAAGAGCGGTAAATAGGGCGGGCGCGGCTGCCAGTGTAAAAGGTACTGACTCCTGGTTCTGGTTATGGTTTGCCGGCCCCTTCTGTGAGTCTGGACCCCCCAACAAGAATCTCCGTTCAGCGCCGAGGCATCCGCATTTTCATGCCGAAGATGGTCCCTCCCGCTCTGAACGGTCCTGATCATCACGAATATAAGAATACCAAGCACAGATTGTCTCTGGAAAACAAGATCTGGCGAGCGAAAACGTCAGATGCAGATCATATTTTCGACAGCCCAGACAGAGAAGACGCGGCAAATCCCCACCATTCGGCTGTGGATGCCTATGCCTGCCTGCAGATGGATGGTGAATTCTGTTTCGACGAATCTAGTGCTTTGCGGACTTTACTCCGCTAACACCCCCCTCGAGGGTCCCTCTCGCCTCGGAAGACACTCGAAAGACCAGCTGCTAGCAAATACTTGATAAAAACGGAGGAGACGAACCAACTTACATCATTGCGCCGGAGACGCCTGAGAAGCTCCGGTCGCCCATCAGTCTTGAGTGCGCGGCCAATCAGCAGCAGCCGCTGGCGCCGGAAGACGCGTCCGCCAACCACAGGCCGCTCTGGGTGACGCCAATGACGTACGGGCTCCTCTTTCGAAACGAGACGTGAATGGCCAGTTCACGTGTTGGGGGACCCTGAGCCCCACTCCCGCCAAGCGGGCAAAGACCCCTGCCCCACTCCCCGTTCCAATGTTGGGTACCCTGCGCAAGTCCCTTCCCTTCCTCTTCGCTTCTCCATCGTCTGCTCATTTTTTTACGTAGGCAATGGAGTGAAGTGAGTGCGCAATGAGACTGGCCGGCCTGGAGCCAGCCAATCTGCTGCTCTGCTCTTTGCGTCTTGGGGTGGTTGTATTGCTGTGCCCCCTCCTCCCGTTGTCACTCATGTCTGCTGTTGCTAATGTGTGTTTGCTTGCCTGCTTGCCTTCCTTGTCTGTCTGTGTGTGTGTGTGGCGATTTACCTAAATAAAAGAAGACTCTGCCCGTGTGTGGTAAACCGGTTTCCCATGCGTCTTCTCGATCTCGATTGCCCATGATACATCATCGAGGATCGATCGAAAAAAAACCACCTACCGGCCACCGCACAGCACGAATTCGCATCCCCACTCTATCAGACTTCTCTGACATTTCGATCAGGCTGCTTTGCCCATCTTTTGATGCATCCCATTCTCGAGATCGGCCTTTCTGACACCATCGACTTTCCCAAATCCCCATCCCCACAACAGCAGCAACGGCATCAACCTCAGCTGGCCTCCGGCCGCCCTCACCGGCGGACTGTTCGCCTGATGGCCTCCAGCCACTCCAGCCCCATTCGCCCTTCTTTCCCGACTCATGAGCTTTCGCCTCCGCGCAGACGCCGAAGATCCTCTCCCAAGGCGAAGCCGGTGGACAACAGCACTGCTTACGGCGAGGATGCCACTCAATCCCGACTGTCCTTGAGACGGTTGAAGCAGGGCGAAGGCCATCAAAGGGTATGTGTCTTTTTCCCTCTCTGTCTGTTTTTGCTTTTACGGGTGTTTGGGCGCTGCTCTGCTGCTGCATTGCCTGTTTTCAGTTGCTGTGCAGCCAGAGTAGGCACACAGCGAATAACAGGGCGTCGCACACTGCAAGTTGAAAAACATGGTTGAAAAAGCAACAATCGAGGGTGCACAAACCAACACAACAGAATTTAGCTAACACAACATTCAAATACAGATTCGCCATGGAGCATCAGAGCTGCTGCGTCTCTCAGGAAACTTCCCCGGCTACCACGGCCAATCTGGGGGCAGCGGCTTTCACTCCGCCCACGATCAAGCCCTCCCCAGCGACAGCGACCTGCGCCACATGGCCCAGCTGTCCCACAATATCGCCAACGACATTTTCGACATCTTCGCCCTGAGGAACGAAGACCCCAGCAGCCAGAACCGACGCGGCGCAGACAGCCGGCGGCATTACCAGTCCCAGAGTATCGCGCCCGGCCATGCGAGCGTGATGCGCAAAGGCGGCAAAGGCGATACCGCCGCCGACTTGTACTGCCACAAGTGTCATCGTGTCGATACTCCCCAGTGGCGGCTCGGCCCAGACGGACCCATGACATTGTGCAATGTGTGCGGTTTGGTGTACGCCAAGAGACAGCAGAATCTGGATGATTTGACCATGCCTGGTTCTCCCAGCATGAACAGGCACTGCCGGCAGGACGAGTCGTCGTGAAAAGAGATGTTGTGACTAAGTCTCTCGACCGTAGTGTGTGTATGTTTCTGCCCTGAATATCTAATGTCTAGCGAAAGCGCTTTTTTTTCACGAGAGTTAATCATTGGGTATTTGACGCGGCGCAAGGAAATGTTTTGGGAGTTATTGGGAGTAAGCTTTGAAGGGCTGGAGGCATCTTGAATATACCCGGCAAGACTGCCATTTTTAGTTCTTCGTTTTATATCTCTACGTAATTGCAGCGCATATGATACCTCGCACAAGTCTGGAATTCCATCGTGATCGTAGACTGAGATTGTGAAGAAGAGCCTAAAGCCGTTGACCGAACTGTACCCATGCAGAGACAAAGCTGATATTACCCAGAGATGTGTTCGCACTTGCGGGCTTACGGGGGCGGGACTTTGGCATTCAGCATGAGTCCAAGCACCCGTTTCACGCACTCTCTGCAGTCCATGCTCCCAGCCAAACTTAGACATCAACATAGGAAAGTCTGGGACCCTGGGCCGCCGGCTGGATAAGTGGCAGCCACCGGTGATTGGGTCGTCAAGGAGTGAAAATCACTCAGTATGGAAAATCACAGTCCCTTCCGTTCAGCGGCGTCAGACTCAAGGGAGTGGCCCAAACAGCATTCGGCCTTCAGCCCTTTCTCGCGCACGTGGCTGGGGAGGGAAAGCGAGATGGAAACCCTTTTGCCAAAACTCAGATGTTTTTCCAGCCCCAGAAAAGCAAACAGAGTTGTCAGATATGCAGCGGGAAAAAACGTGCAACCACTGTTCAGGAATCTGCTGTTGGCGCGGTGGCGAAGAAAGGGGGTGTGTGCGTCTTGCGGCGTGCCGGCGGCGTGTGGCGCGGCAGACGACCGGTGGAACGAACCTCAACAGTCCATCACAATCACTCCCTTCCGGTAACACAGTATATAGACGGTATTGTAGAGATCGTCTGCCATCTTCACGATCTCAGGCGGTTGTACACAGACTTGATATCGTGATTGTTGTGCCATCGGAAGCATGAGAGAAAAGCCTTCTGTGCGGCGTCGGTGGAGTCCACTGTGACCTGTTCCCTAAAGACCGTTGGTCTTTGCACTTCTGAGGACCTCTGGAAGAACTCCTTGAGATATCGAGTCAGAGCATGAAGCCGCTGTTGTGTCCGGCACAATCCCCCCTTCCGCGAGACCCAGCCCAACAAACTCCGCTGTAGACAGACCTTATCCCTCCTCCTCACTGCCGGCAATCAGCAACAGGGCCCAAATGCTACCATCAGCCCCAATTCATCCCCTCGAATCCCCATACTCATACTCGCGTTGTTTGCACCCAGTTCAACTTTCTCTCCTGGACCCCCGAAGCTTCCGTCACGTGCGGCCCCTTGTCGTGGCCACAAGTGGTAAGCGTTCCGGAGTGCATACGACCCACAGTCATCAACACCATACGATTCAGCTGCTTTCTCGCGAGAAAGTATTCCATTAGCCTCAAATACCTTGTTTGACAAGATGCTACGTCCATGATCTCTTCCTCGACCGGCCGAGAGTTGGTCTAACTCCGGTTAAGTCCATCATGTCGCTCCACGGGGTATCAAGGAAGACTCTGTCGGTTTGATTCTTGAACAAAGTTGACAACAATGGCATCGTTAAAAGGTACCGACGCGCCCAAAGAGCCTCTTGAAGGACTGGTCAAGGTATCACGGGCTTGAACCACCTCGACATCCCCACAGCCAGATAGTCTGCCTCCTCGACTTGATACGATTCCACAATAACGACAACAACTCCAAACGACACGATGAAAGCCCTCGTCCTATCCCCCTCCGAAAGCTCCGTCTCTGTCAGAAATATTCCGAAACCATCTCCAGGTCCTCGAGAGATCCTCATCAAGATCTACGCCGTCGCCCTAAACCACGTTGACGCGCTCTACGCCAAAAACCCCATTGCTGCCCAAGACGACCGCGTCACTGGCAGCGACTTTTCAGGAGAGGTTGTGCAACTCGGCGAGGGCCTTGACGTTGTCGATGACCCGCGGGCAAAGATTGGAACTCGCGTAGCCGGGTTTGTCCAAGGAGGTAAGGCTTCAAACACCATCGCGTCATGTACCCAGTCACAACCCAATCCCTATCATCTTCTTCCTACCCACAAAGCACACGCTGTGACTATATCTTCCGTGGCTGTAGCAGCCCAAGACCTTGTACAAACACCTCGCAGCACTTCGCCGCGCTTCCTCGCCTTCGTCTAAATGCAACCTGCCGGGTGTCCTTCACTAGCTAACAACAGCAACAAACAGCCTGCTCCGTCAATCTCCGCCCGGGCGCCTTTGCAGAGTACCTCGCCGTCGAGTACGACCTGACATGGCACATCCCGACGACATTGTCCTTCGAAAGCGCGGCGACAATCAGTCTTTGCGGTCTAACGGCTGCCCAGGGCGTCTTCGCCCGCCTGCAACTACCGTGCCCGTTCTTCAACACAAGAGGTTTCACGGGCCTCGACCTCGCTGACGACAGCCCTGCCAACATCTTCATATATGGCGCGACCTCATCCCTCGGCCTGTACACGGCACAGCTTCTTCGCGCTTCTGAGAAGACCGCTGGTCGCAGGATACGGCTCATCGGCGCGGCCAGCGCCTCGAAGCACGCCATGTTGAAGCAGGGACCGTACGGCTATAACGTTCTAGTCGACTACTGTGATGTCGACTGGGTCGAGCAAGTGCGTCGTGCGGCCCGGGGAGGGGTGCAATACGCCATCGACGCCATATCCAAAAGCCCGTCGGTTGAGCAGGTCGAACAAACACTAGCAGAGGACGGTCAGTTCGCCGTGTTCCGGAGCCCTGCCCTGGGCGGATTCGACGTCTCCAGGATGCGGGTCAAGCCTCTGATCGGAGCTGTCTGGGAGGGGTTGGGAGTCGAGATATTGTATCAAGGCAAGTCAACGTTGGGCCCCTTTGACTAACGCATCGACGCGAGACACTGTCGCTAATTCCAGTTCGTCTGATTCTAGGCGCTACGCTCCCCGCGAACCCCGACGCGAGACGATTCACGGCCGAGTTTTATAAGTACATGGGCTCTGAAGCCTCTTCTGGAGTTGTCAAGGTGCAGCCGAACGCTGTGCGCCTGATGCCGGGCGGTTTGGAGAGGATCGCTTTGGAAGGGTTTGCGTTGTTGACTGGTGCCGGAGGGGAACGGCCCGTTAGCGCCGAGAAGATTGTGTACACCATCTCTTGAGGATCCCCGTCCTGGACCTCGAGGCAATGCGGTGTCTCTCCTTGCAGCGTGTCGGTGCATCATTGAACGCTTGGTGAATGTCAGCGTCATCCGCGGTATCTCAAACGTACGAAGTTCCTTATAGAAAGCAGGTACCATTAATTGGACGGAAACCTCCCAAGATCATCTAAGATACAAAAGAATTGTGTGCTATAGAGACTCTTCGCGTCTGGGGGTGATGAGCGGGGGAGCGAAGAAAGGGCAATCGCGGAATGCCATTGCTCAAGCTTGTCGATTACAGACTTGCCTGGAAAATGGTCTGCTATTCAACATCGAATACCACGTTGACCTACGTACTTGATGAATGTTGCGAAGGATCCGCCTGAACTTTGCCGATAGTTGTCAACTATTATCAAATGAAGCCACAAAGCCAGCCCGCGTAGCTAAAGTGCTGTATTAGCTCCACCAGCGGTCTTTCCAACTGTCCTCCGTTCCTAATGCAATGTGTCTAGAGCTGGAGAAAATATCTTCACCACTAGTAGTGTCAAGCAAACATCCACACATATTGTTTCTTTGCAGGGACTAATAAATTCTGGAAAATACCGTTGTCTTCTCGGCACTCATTCGTGGTGATAGCTTTCCACGACCTCCACATCTTCAGGCATCACATCATGTACCTTGTCACCAGGGATTATTGATGTAAGCGGTGAAATTTATGAAGTCTGGTTGACCTTGTAGTTCGCGTGCTACATTCTCTAAGCTTGGCTATATTTTCTTAGCTATATTTACCTACACTTCCTCAGGCAGCATATCTTCGTGCTTGTTCCTTTCAGCTATCAGAATAGAGACATTTACAGGATCTCAGAGATAGTCAGAGTGCCCATGTACGTTCTTTTTCAACGACCACAAGCAACAGCTAAGACGGGCGAAGAACCGCGCGTGTGTAGCTACCAATGTTTAACTCATGATCGAATTACTACGTAGACACTGATGGATGCATTAAGAACCTCACCAAGAGCATCTTGGAATCCTGTTCAGTCTGAAGAATAGACACGAAGCAATGACAGCAGATCAGCCTGTGTGATCACAGTTTCTCCCGGCCAAGATCCTCTCTCATACATATTCACTGAGTTCCGAGACTGCGACGGCGGCGAATGTTAGGTTAGACAGGAGCATGTTAGCAAGTGATGCAATAGTATATTGAGGAGATGCCTGTTATTAATCGGCGAAATAATGGATAAATCTTCTAGAACTAACTGAATTGAAGGAGAAGTCCAAGTATGAAGGGAGATTAGCCGTCCTCTGTAAATTACAGCCAAGCGCCATTGACAAAAAATAACATCCTCTTTACGGTTAGCTTTAGACCTCCCTCTTAACTTGGCATTATATTACAGGACGAATCTGTGTGAAACATCACTGAAGGCTTTCTGAGATGGTGCAATGCATTCTTCAAACTAAGATAGTAAAACACCAAGACACATTTGATACTAATTTGCAGAAAAAGGTAGTTCCCAAGACCAAGCAAAATTGTCTGTGTCCAATTATGCAATGTTTAGGCGAATCCTAATTAGCTCCTGTCCTAACACCCTTCACTGGACCAGCCTTTGTTCCTGTGATTGCGAGGTTGATTGGCATGCCGCAGGACTGAGCCAAGGCAGTTGTTTCAGAAACCAGGAAACGATCAGCATGGTTTGGGTTCTTACACAAAGATGTCTAAGCTATAAGAAACGAAGATCCAGGTCAGCCGTCAGCGACTGCTTGTATTTGACGGATTAGTACGGCTCACGTGGAACCTTCCGTGTAATGAAGCCCAGGGAATTGTGCGGACGCTTCAGATTGCAGGAAAGACACATAGTTTCCTAGGATTTCCAGACCGCTCCACATGCATTTGTGCTGCCTTTGTTCAGCAGCAAAAATCACGCGACGTTCAAGTGGGGAGATTCAGCTGCGTCCGCTCTAGGCTATAGCCCGCTTGCGGTTGTGCGGAGTCCATCTCACCAAGCGGGGCTCAGCCCCGTTACTCCCCTTGGTGTAGTTGGTTCATCACGTTCGACTGTAATGGTATCATATCCACATCTATCGAAAGGTCTCTAGTTCGATTCTGGAAGGGGAGAACCACATTCCTTTTTGCATTCGTTCACGTTGAACAATCATGAGTTGCGCCGTTTTAAAACAACGCGAAGTAACGCACCAATGATGCGAGGCGGTGGGGCAGGTCATAACTAAATGCCTTTTGGTTCTGTGTTTGCCTTTGTGTGTTAGACTACTGTGACGTATTGGTCTTTTGTTATAAGATTTACTTGAAGTTCTGAAGTTTATTGAAACGATCTTGGTCTTGTAAATAAGCACCCTCTGGTGGTTCTGCCTGCACTTAGCATGGTTCAGTTTTCAACACTGGGTCGCAATCAATGCGGTTCTCAATTCCTGAAGACAGAATTACTCGATATACTCGTCTTCTTTTTCTGTTTTGTTGTATTGATGGTAACTCGTTAACGACCCAGGTTGCTGATACTTCCCGGTGGACTGAGAGCCTGGAAGAGAAATACTGGCTGCTCACCGAGTAGCTCCTAGAATCTGGATCAACGGGGCCTCTTCCTGTGATAAATAACTATGTCACCCTACATGCTGACCTCTGCAAAGGCATTCATAGAGTGTGCGGACGTGGGACCATGTTTATATATTAGGCGGCTGTGCAAGATCTTTTAGATCTGTAATGAAGGAAACCTTTTTGCCAGTGCAGAGATGGCTAAAGGCAAGTCAACGTTTTCTGAATATCCAGTCTTTTTCGGACGGCTTTCCTTAGCACTGCTCAAGCAGCAGGGGTCTAGAACTTGCCGCTAACGTACCAATCGGGCGCTGCGCTGATCCTTGTCAGGAGCGCATGTCTGCACGGCAACATCGAGGCCAGGGAAAGCAATTCTCGCATTCATGTCGCCGGATCTCACGTAAGACGAATATGGAAAGCCAGCTGGGCCACAGTTTACCGACTCGGGATATTCAAGCGAGAGCTGGTAAGGCTTAGGAAGGATATCTGCATATCCAAGGAACCAATGAGACTTTCATGCCAGGCATCTATCCCGTCTTGGCATTCATTTAGTAAGACTACGTGCCTGGCGCTAAACTCACCGACGAATAGCTTGAATCGATCATGACCTGGAACACAGAGCCCTTGCAGCAATGACGAAGATCTTCTCCGTCAGAGGGCATTCAAATATGTCTCCCGACACCTAAGATTTCAACTCCCATCGCTCTTTCCCAGCGTACCTCCCTCTCTCTCACGGCGCGAGGAAGGCAAATAAATATGCGACACCTTTTCGGCCAAGCCCTCAGCGGCTGGCGCGTGTCGGCCCTGACCTTTGTCTGCGCAATATGGACACTGAATCTCATCCTCTGGGTTCTCCTCGCCGTCACCCGGGCCCGCGGGTCATCAGACTCACTCGTCTTCAACATTTCGAAGATCTTTGAGGGCGACTGCGACTCGGCGCGTGTGCGTTTGATGGCCCTCAAAGCATTCGTCAACGCTTTCTCCACCTTGATTCTCATTTCGTCAAACTACTTCATGCAGATGCTGGCCGCCCCGACGCGGGCGGATATCGACGTCGCGCACCGCCGCTCCCGGTGGATGGACGTGGGAATTCCCTCCATGCGCAACCTGCGCTTCGTGTCGCCGTGGCGCGGCGTATTATGGAGTCTGTTTGCGTTGAGCTCCGTGCCGTTTCACCTGCTCTTCAACGCTTGCGTTTTCGGTTCGACTACAAGCACGGAGTGGGTGACGGCTGTTGCGTCGGAAGGGTTCCTCGAGGGTCGGGAGTACTACCTTCCCGGCATCGGCCTGGGCCCTGACCCTGGGCCCGCTGACCAAGCGTACAGTGATGTTGTCCCGGGCGAGGTGCAGTATATGGCCGCCAACGCGAAGTCCTGGGAGCGTCTCACTGGGAAGGAGTGTCTGGAGGCGTACAGCGTGTGGATCAATGTGCGCAGCAGGAGACACATGGTGGCAGTGGTGGAAGCGGACAACAACGGCAAAGGATGGACTACGGCAGAGAAGTCTCAGACATGGGAGGCTGATATGCTGAACAACACGGTCTATAGTCTATGGTACGCCGGCTTCTATGGCTTCCACTCTGGTAACAACAGATTCACAGGCTCTGGCTTGGCCACGGGCATGACCATAAAATGGGAGAACGACCACGGCCCATACGAGAACGTTTCCGTCATCTCGTCAAAGGGCCGATTCTGGGGTCTTCTTGACCTCAAAACCGGCACGTGGATGGATGAGCTGCTCGATAAAAATGACAACTGGGTCATCTCGTGGGACGCCGTGGGCGCGCCAGGCAACGTTCCACTACTCAACGAAACCCTGACGGTCAAGTACTGCCTCTCGGAGCCCATCGTCGGTACCTGTAGGGTGCGCGTCAACAACGACCTGTTTCTGGCGGTTTGCATCGTTGCGCTGTTCAAGAGCTGTCTCTGCGTCGTTGTGATAGGCTACTTGTGGAAGAGAAAGCCGCTGGCTACTATCGGGGATGCTGTCGACTCCTTCATCCGCCTGCCCGATGCGACTACCAGAGGAATGTGCACACTCGGGTGGCGGGACTTTTCGAGGAGGAGCCGCTGGAGACCCCGTAAGCGACCGGAGGAATACGGCTGGCTCGCCGAGCCACGAAGGTGGGAGAAAAGGGAGCAGCGTTGGGGCGGCTCGGTCCATCTCTCGGACTGGGTCAAGACATATACCATTGGTGTTGTGGGTTTAATACTGGGCTTCCTGGCGTTGAATTCTTTTATCAGCGAAGTGTAAGAAGCCTGTGTCCATCCCGTCTTGGGAGTTTCTTTGCTAACGTCGATATCACAGTGGGGGATGGAAGCGCGCCTACACATGGGGAACTTTCGGGCAGGACCCCGAGAACCCCGTCTTCGCAATGAAGTACCCCTCCAAAGCCCTCGAGAACTTCGTGGGGAGCTTGGCCATAAACCCGATCGGCTCATCCCTCCTGTCCAACCTACCACAGCTTGGGCTATCTATCACCTGCCTCCTCCTGAACGTCATCTACACTCGCATGTTTATGGCCAGGGAATGGACGTCCTACAGCCTGAACCTCAAACCACTTCGCGTCAGCGCGCCAAAAGGCCAGCAGCAGTCTGAACCGTTCTTGGAGATTCCCCTGCCGTATGCTGTTGCCATGCAAGCAGCGGGTCTACTGGTTCACTGGCTGTGTGCCAACTCCGTATACGCCATCATAATAGAACGTGAGTTCTTTTGAAGCTTTCATTTGTGAAATACACTGACGCAGTAAAGCACTCGAGGCCATTCCACCAAATCAGATCGTGTCGAGCAGTTATGGACAAGTCACCATGTACATCAACATCCTCCTATCATTCAAAGCCGCGATCGCGACCATGGTCGTTCTCTTCGCCATGCTGCTCGTCCCAGTCATCGCCTCAAGATTTCGTCTTGCAGGAGAAACAGTAACGGTTGGGAGCTGCTCGGCTGCTGTTTCGGCTGCCTGTCACGTTCTCCGGCCGAATCGCGAGCTCTCTACAGTGACTACCCCCGAGCCGCTCTCGTCATGGGGACTCTCAGATTCTGATTCAATTTCCCTGAATCAAGTTGTCCAAAAGAGCGGTCACGTTCATGTATCGGAATGCGACGGTGGTGATTGGCGAGACGACCTGGCTGAGAGTAGGTTGATGTGGGGGGCTGTTTCTGGGAATGGCTTGCCGGCGACGGAGTACAGTGACTCGACGGATGATACACTTTTGCATTTGGCATTTGGTACGGCAGAGAATGACGTGAAAGGTGTTACAGTGGGAGCAACTTATGCTGGCGTTAGGGACTGGGACAACTAACGGTCGTCGGAAATGAAATGGGCATTTAGCGTGGCGTCAACCGTCAATTTTCTCGAAAAGCGCTATCAGATGGTTAAATGCTATGATACGTGATTCTTGAATCGGAAGATTTACATGGAAAAAAGAGACAAGATAAAAGAAACGACAATAACATTGACAAAAATTGGATGAGCATGTCTCCCGGTTTAGAGCTGCAGGGGTCCGTGGACATGCGGTCTAGTGGCCTATCAATCCCAGAGTCATTAGGGTCTTCTGCATAATATACCTATACTCATCAAACCATGATCTGGTGTTCGTCTGATTGTTTTACAAGCTTACACTAAGGTGGCTTTCTCAATGCATGATCCCCTCACATTCAGCATCGTGAGAAGTCAAATGTGGGGCCTGAACCACCCTCGCTCTATGGGCTGCTTGCGGCGCCGTCGAAGTCATCTCACCAAGCGGGGCTTTAGCCCCGTCACTCCCCTTGGTGTAGTTGGTTCATCACGTTCGACTGTAATGGTTACATTGTCATCGAAAGGTCTCTAGTTCGATTCTGGAAGGGGAGAACCAATTCTTTTTTGCGGTCTTTTAGGTTGAAGTTGACCTGGCCTTAAGTCTCATCACCGGGTTATTTTGTGCTCGCGAGCATACTGTGCACTACTACCTTTATTTTTTCCCTTACATTCTTGCCTTCAATATTTGACTTTTGAACGACCATCAACCAAGAACAACCTTTTTCATGAAGCTCACAATCTCATTCTCTTCCCAATCAAACGAGTCAAAAAATGGAGCTACTCTCATTTGCTCCTCAATTTCCTCGTTGTCAGGGATTCTCTGTTTCTCGTACGTCGCTGGTCCACCCTCAATCGAGTGCGGAATAAAGACGGACGTGTTTGTCGTAATCGGTGTCCGGTCTTCACGGATTCCCATACCTGCCGGATCGCCGTCGATGAACCACAATCCTATCACAGGGTAGTATGTGTTTCCATCCGCGGCCCTGAACTCTGGAAGTAGAGCAAGCTCCTGCACAACATACCCTTCAGCGCCATAATCTCCCGTAGATGCATCCTGTATAACTTTGCCATCACGTTGCAGAACAACATCGGCACCCTCTCGCGCAAAGATTGGCGTGCGTGCAAAACTCGTCATTGACGAGGGTGCCTCATTGACATACGTCGGGAGAAGCCACTTTCCCCTCGGGTCGTCTTTGAACAGTCTCCACAGGATGGCGAAGATTGACTTGTTGCTCCACAACATTTTGTACGGCGGCTCAATCCAAATGGTTCCTCCAATATATTTTCCTGCTTCGTCCTGCAAGCCAATCTTCTCCATATCCTGGAAGCAAGACCGTGCAAATTCCTCCTGCACCATAAACTCCCACGGGTAGAGCTTAAAGATGACGTCGAGATGATCGCCGTTTGCATCGTAAAATCGTCCATCTTTCTTCGAGATAGAGATCTCCTCAACTGTAAGCGCCTTTGTCTGCCAGCCCGCCTGCTGGCAAGTATCCATCAAGAACATGACGTTGAAGGCATCCTCCCCCGAACACTCTCCTTCGCCTACCGCAAAGTGAACCACAGGCTTGTGTCCCAACGTCTTCTGGATAAGGGTGAGATTACGTTGCCAAGCCGTGATAAGCTTTTCGGTGATGCTGTTGTATTGATCACTTCCATTTCCAGTCTGTTCCAGCCATAGCCATTGGATTGAACCGGCTTCGAGTAACGAGGTAGGGGTGTCCGCGTTGAACTCGTAGAACTTGGGCTGCCGCAATCGAGGGTCCGGATGGTCTAAGCCACCAAAGCACACATCGAAGCGTCCATAAATACTGCCCCATGCAGGCTCTCGATTCCACGACTTTTTAATCTCGCCCAAGGCAAAAGCGGGCACCGCCATGTCTTTAGTGATGATATCTTGGTTTTCTGTCAGGTAGTCTGCTGCCTCGCAGCACATCGCAAAAACGTCTTTGGCGGCGCCTTCGAGAAGGTGTATCTCTTCTTCGGTAAACGAGTAGTACCGGTTGTCCGGCCAATATGGCTCCGAGGCACCGGGAGCTACGAGGTCTGCGAAAACTAGACCCTGGCTTTGGACTAGGCGCGTATGGTTCGGCCGTTTCTGAACTGGAATACGACGCATTCTGTTGAGCAGTTCTGGCTGAAAGCGTTATGGAATACTTCCCACGGAGCGAAAGATTGAGCCAAAAGGAGTCTCGTTCTTATATGGGGCATGGGCTTCGATCCCCATACCACAGACCCCCTACGAAGTTTTAGTGGAATCAAGAATGTGGCAGATACATACAAACCGGCGGGAAAGATTTCACATTGTGCGGTTCCATAGTTGCTCGTTGCAAATCCCCCGTATACGGAATCCTCGGTAAGTTTCGGCTTCAATCCGATAACCGACGGAAATTTTGATACTCTCACACGATTTGGCGACTTTTGGCTAGAGTTCCATAGAGTTGAAGGCTAAAGACATTCCCTGCGATTTCATGCTCCGTTATGTCCACAGGGGCGTCTCGTTGAAGCAGCTGTGTTAGAGCACACACGACCATGACACGATCTATCACGAAGTGCGTCTAAGTTGGTTACCTATGTGCGGAAGCTCTGCGTTTAGCACTTCCTCCCTTCCAAGGTTCATGGTGGTCGAACGCCTTCCGAATGGACGATAGAATTGGGTTTGGGCGTTCGCTCTGTCGGACCGAGTTGTCGGGCCAGGGCATCACAACACCAAAGTTTTCCGAGGATAGTCGTGATGATGCGGACATCTCTATGTAGAAAACTTTTAGGAAGTTCCATCGCCGAAGTCAATTCCCGACATTACGAACAAGACGCAACTGTGCTTTATTCGAGACCTAAGCTATGACAGAAAAGCCTTTGTGTCCTCCAAGTCTTTATCTGACTGTCGTAGAAGTCCGAAGCACTCGTACCCTTTCCTAACGAGGTTCGTCCCTGGCGAAATTGACGAGCAGATTGTTTCACCATCAACCCTTCAATGGAAGATGAATAGTTTCTTCCTCTCTTTTCATTCAATCTTCTATATAAAGCTCTGCCAAATGGTATAAAACGACGATCTTCGTTCGTCCTAAAAGTTCGTTCTAGCTTGCCGTCTCAAGCAATCAAAGCCTGTTACTTTACTACCATCATCTCAACTAAAAAAGAGCTTAGCCACACAAACATGAAGTCCACTCACCTCTCCCTTTCGGGCCTCCAGCAGCTCGCAGTCGCCGCCTTCTTTGCGGCTGCTGCCGATGCTAGGCCTTACTGCGTCAACCAACATGGCCAAGTTGTGGCCCTTTCCAATTGCGATACTGGTACTACCCAAGCAACAGAGAAACTCGTACTCGTCGAGCATGATGGCGGAGACCTTCAAATCGGTGACAGCATCATTGACGATAAGGCTGGCGGATCTCCTATGGTCGCCCGGGATGTCGAGGGCCCTGATCCTGATCTGGTTAGCGGCGGCTTCGGACGAAGGTCTCCTCAGCGTCAGTGCGACCCGTCTGTCGGTCATTGCGTCGTAGGTGGTGTTCGAATTGGGTCAGGCAGCTTCGGCGGCGGAAGCAATGGCGGTTAAAATCTGTCAACTCTTTAGTTGTGTATAGACTGAGACCTTCATCAACGTGTATTAGCATGAATGGAGTTTCGGTGGGGATAGAGTGTATGCTTGTTGATTGCCATTTCTAGCTAAGTGGGTTCAACAAGACGTTTTCTAAACTGAACCCTCATACAACCAGCCAGAAGTGGTGAGTTAAACAGGTTTAACCTCCGCCGCAACAAACGCTCTTACGCTATTGAAGTTTCGCGATTGTTTAGTGCGATGGTGTGTGTTATTCGGCTTAGAATCCCACCCGTAAAATGACAATACTTAGCGCGCAAGTAAGTAGAGGGATGTTGTACAACGGTTGGTTCGCCAGACTCTTCTGTGCCCCTTTTGAAACATCCGCAACACCACCAGACAAGATGCTCCCTTGCAGCTCTAGAATGCGCTGAGCTGCCCTTTCCGCAACAGTCATGATCGGTCCAGACGGATTGGTTGTGACCATTCCAGGCATAATCGAAGCATCGACGATGAACAGATTTTCTGTACCATAGACGCGCGTGTGAGTGTCGACGACGGACGTGCCACCTTCAAGACCGCTGTCGATTCCCATCTTTGCGGTACCGAGATAATGAAGCCCACGCCGTCTCTGGAGATTGACAGGCATCTGTAAATTATTAGCATCAGTTACAGAAGGCCAAGCCAAACGCCTGTGATCATACCTCTTCTATGTATTGTTCCACAGTCATATTTGCTGGCGGATGTGTGAACACGATGTCAGGATCAGTTGACAGGGCCTTCATCAGACTTTTGATACTAGCAATGATGGCCGCTTTATCCTCCTTTGTTTGCTGGTATGGAAGAGTAGAAATTGACATCGTGAGATTTGGGTTAATCGTCACGGCACCGACAGATGTGCCGCCTCTGCCAAGGAACTGCGAGATTGTCATCGAATTCTTGGTCGCTCCGGCCACTCGCGCTGTATACTGAAACTGACGTGGTCCATCCGGTCCATCAACGACTTCCCACATGATAGGTCTATCATTTGGCGCCGTCATGGTAAGCATCCTAGTCCGATTCTTCAAGTAGGCATCCACATCAGCTTGGATTGGACTCTCCCATGCACCAATCTGAAAGTCATAATAGTTGACGTCTTTGTGAGTGATCTGCAAGTCAGTGACAGTGTGGTCGTGAAGATTTCGACCTACTGGTAGCTTGATCCACTGGGTTTCTTCGATGAAGTCGGGGCCATCGGTGCTCTGCTGGACAATGCGGAGCTGATCCTCTGGTCCGATGCCGCCGCTTCGGAACAGCAGCTTCGGTGTGCCATAGTAGCCGCCTGAGATCACCACTCGGCCAGTTGACTCCGTTACGTTCACGATGCCGCATCGGCCTCCGTCACCACGAGACTCGATCTCAACCCCTGTGATCCGACCTCGATCGCGGATGACACGGCGAGCCATCGTGTTCAACCACATTTTGAAGTTAGGTCTCGAGTTTGCCGTAACTAGGTAGGTTGCCAACGGACCATGTCGTTCCCCGTTCTGATACATAAAGTTTGCAAAAGCAAATGCTTGGCTTTTCGCGTTGGGGTTGTCTGCCGGGTTGACTTGATTCCATCCTCCGGCTTTTAAGGCGCGCGAAAGCACGTTATATTCCTCTGGGGCATAGAGAACACCGTCGGTTGAGGGCCTGTCAGTTGCGTATTCTCTTGAAAAGCGCGTCCGCGGCAACCTTCATATCTGCTGCCTTCCAACCCTCTGGATAATTTTGATCCCAGTCAATGTCAGGAGACTTCCACCAGAGACCCGCATTGACGGCCATTCCTCCGCCAAGGACGCAGCCAGATGTGTTCTCATTGATGTCGTCACACGTGACATTCTTCCCGTCTACCCAGATTCTTTGGCATAGACCTGGAACGTCGAATCTGGTGAGATTGGTGCCCTTGAGCCATTCCGGTCGCCAGTTGTCGAAAGAAAGTTGATCTTTGAGTAAAGCCTCCTCGGGAAACCATCGACCAGATGAAATCGGTCCCCTTTCAATCAAGAGGACCTTATGACCCGCCTCGGAAAGCCTGTCTGCCACAGGCATGCCACCGGCGCCTGCTCCGACGACGATGTAATCATATCGCTCTGAATCGATGGTATCCTTGGAAGTGCACTCGGCCGTCGAAATTTTCAGGCCAGGAGCTAAATAGTCAGTAATACCTTCAACTCGTCAGTAGGGCATGAACCCACTAAGCAGGGTCAGCAGAGCATATTTAAGTACCCGCATGATGTCCACTGAACTGGTCTGATGTTGATGGCCTATGGTTTGTTGGGGCGAAGGCTGTCGGGAGATATTTGCAATTATGCGGGGAAATGGCTAGCAAGAGAATATGTATCTTTTTGGGCACAATTGAGACATTTCTGGCACCATGTTCGACGGCCTCCGTGGGATGCGTGGAATGTGACATTTCCTTCCGCGCCGGCGGGATGAAGCCATTCAACTGGCCTCTTTCTAGTTAAAGTTTTACGAGAGACCGATGTTGCATCGCCAAGCAAAGGGACGGCGTCTTTCAAACAAGGTCTTGGGTCTTATGGAATCTTTTGGCACAGAGCTTCACTCTTGACCACTTAACACTTCAATCAAACTTGAATAGTGTCTATCAATCTGTGAGTAAGATAAGCATAGGGTTGCAGAACATACTTTGTCCAAGTAGAAGTTGATCATACGGTCCAACACTAAGAGGTTTCTGGAGATAACGTTCGCAGTGGTGCCTGACGGGTGGTTTTCGTTGGTTGGTTGATTCTCGATCTGTCAAAGGAGTTTAAACCGCCAACTGACAGTTTAAGACTCCTACTAAGCGGCTATAAGCGTCTGTTATACATCATTCAATCTTTTACGCAAGTGCTCTATATTCACTCAGGCGTCAATACATGACGAAAGGCAGGTTTTGTGAGGCAGAGAGGAACGATCATGTGGCAAGTCTTATTCGGGTACATGCACACGGAAGGAGTTATTGAAAAGGAGACGCTCATGATGCAGGTGTTTTCTGCCCCCTCTTCAGCCTCCCTAACTAGCCATAATGTACGTCGAAGTTTCAATCAATTTACGTCCAAAGTAACATGAGGCCAGCGAGTATGTTGAGATGCTCTTGATGGATCCATCGTATTATGTACTCGTAGCTCAGATCGGTTCGGCCCGCCCGGGTGCAAGAATTGCCATAGTAATATGCCGTGCTAGGGATGAAACCAATCATCCCACCGGTAAACGCATTTTATTCGAGTCCCTCGAGTACTGGGGCCAATAGCCCGAGGAGCTCGTAGATTATAGTTCACAACTGTAGATGTGTGAAACTTTCCCCGTGTCAAGGGCCTCGGCCGCTCGGTCATCGAGCTCCTCGATCTGGCTCGAATCCCAATAAATCATTGGGGTCCCCATACCAGATTGGGCGCAAGCAGGTATCGCCGCATATTATTTCTTAATTCAACTACAATCAAAGATGTTGGATACTTCGGCCACTTTGACCCAAGTCACGCCGATTCCAGCGAGCATAACACGCGAGAAAGCTCTCGCACTTGTTCAAGATGCGGAACATCACATACGGTCCGACTCTGATATGAAGTCTTTTTCGCCTTGCGACCTTCAAATTCCGGTCAAACTTCCCAGCGATATTCACCCAACTGAGGCGACAAAGGCGTACATGGTGACCGACAGCGTACCGGCATTATTTGGTCACCGCGACGCTGTAAGCTACAACGAGTACACTCGCACGAATGACGGCATATTCGTTCACACCGTTGCTCCCATGGGCGTGGTGTTGGACACGCGATGGCGGGTTCGAGAAGCACAGGACGGAGGGTTAGAGATGATCGCTGTTGTGGAGATCAGGTGTTCTAAGCTGATGGTTGGTATGGTGAAGAAGACTTGTGCGAAGAATTCGAAGCCCTTCCATGAAAGGTTGCTTAGTGGACATGGGGCATACAATTGACATCCGACTTATGTTGGATAAGGCAAGACATGGAAGCCTCAGTTGGTTCGTTTGCCACAATACTGAGGATCAAGCCAGTGGTCTTTAATTCTGATACATAGATGTATTCGTCGTGGACCATGATCCCGAAGCATTGATATGTTGGTGAAATACACATCTCTGCTCTGTACACCTGTTGCGATCGGTTTGTTACGCCTCAAATCCAGGAGTCAGGGCACCGAGAGAGGATGTGTTTTAGTAGTCAAAAGATCAATTTCTATTCATATGTACAGTCTTGGTCTAGTCTTTGCTCCACACCTTCCAGCTCGTATCCAACTTTGTCTCGACACACCTAATCGTATCGAAACTCAGGTCCATGCCATGCACGATGAAGTCGAGCGCGAATCCCGTGTGCACTTCGTGGACGATCACGCTGTCCAATAATCTGCAAGATGTCCAACCGATTGTTTTGCGATTCCGGGTGATGATGAGACGGGCCCCGGAAGTTCTCCTCAACTTCGTAAGTTGAAAGATCCTGAGGAAGGGTTTGAGCGCGACGAGCTGGGGAAGACTGGAAGCGAACACTAGCTGGCTCGGGTGATGGTTCTCGCACGTATAATTGAGGCTGGGTCAGGTTGCGGCGCGGCGGGCTGTACTGCGGTGGAGGCTGAGAGATGCGCTGCGAAGTTGCTGTACTATGATAAGCGGGAGGGGGAGATGGCAGCCGGTTGACATGTCGAGCGAGTGTTTGTCGGGGTGGAGATATCTCTGCGGGAAATCTGAGAGACCGCCTATGAGGCGGAGTCAGTGGTATGTCCTCCTCTTCATCGAGCTCATCTTCGTACTCGTAGTCGTCCGCGTAAGGATGAGAGTGTGGATGACATCTATGGCAAGACTGAACGTAGGTCTCATCGATGTGTCGGTAGAGTGTGCCTCTGCACCACTGCGCTGGGGTTCTGCATGATCTACTGAACTGTTGCACTCTCACGCACGGTTCGAAATTGTCGCGGTAGAGTATCGTCCTGCCGCAGTTGATGCAGTATTCAACATCCTGCGTGATTCTGCACATGACTGCTGTTGCTGTTGCTGTTTGAATTTAGACGGGGCTCACTTACGTGCGTATATGAGAAGCGGGCCTGAGGTTGACGTTGTGGTTTAGTGATGAGATCTCTGGGTAGGCTTATTGTGGTTCCAATGTAGCCCCAGACACCGCCGTCAATTCGCCCCCTCTTAAGTAAGGTTATCATTTATGAGCTTGCCATAGTTTCCGCAAGAAAGCTCTTTGGCAGTCGAAACAACAGCTCTGTCTTGACTCAATGTTCTACTTCGTTCAACAACACAATTCTTATTATTTTCGATGAGTCTGTGAGCTCTCTGCAGAAGGCCTTTGGTTTTGAACAAAGCATAGACTACATGTTGATACTTGGTCCAAGTTCCATGAGATAAAGAGCGTCTCCCATGAAAGCAGTATTGTTCATGACTGTCAAAGGCTCGGCGAAGATTCTCGCCTGGAAGTAAACCAAGGACTTAATGGGGTGCCCCCATTGGCTGTCACTGTGGGGCACTATTGCCAAATCTGTCCAGATTATGTAGGGTCAGAATCCACGTTCTTGAACAGGGCAGTTCAGCAAAGGAATGATGATTTTTTGGTTTCGGGTCACGTCAAACCAAGAACCTTGACCAAAAGTACCAATGAAGACTCCAAATAAGTTCCATTTCCTTAGCAAGCGGAGTCCGACAACATGAGGTGAAGCCAGCCGCCCCCGTTGCTTCTGGGTATGGCTAGAAAACGTTGCTCCTTGCTTTCGCGCGCTCGGCATGACTGAATGCTTCTCACCTGATTTTCACTTAGTGACTAAGATCATTCATGTGTCTACGACATGGAACATTTGCCGACAAGTTCAGCCACAAAAGAGTGCTGGGGTTTGGGAATATCATCCCGGCCAAGACAATCGTAATCTAGCCAATCATCCTCTTGAATTCAAGACCCGTAAAGACTACGGATTCAATTTCAAGTAGCCGGGGTTCGAGATAGGATGCTACGTGAAAGGGGAAGATTCCTTCCTTATTCCCTTCCTTCAAGAAATCCTCGTCACATGCGGACAACTCGCGTGCTCAGGCTGTCTCAGACGCTCGGTACCTTCCAGCCCTACAGGCTCCAGTGTTCAACCTGGCTGTTCCTAGATAATTGCCGTTAGCCGACACAGCCCAGAAAAACATTGGGGGCAGAAACATGATTCAAGGCTATCCAAACATGAGCTAGCCTCTAAACTCCAAAGGCGGGGCCCGCGGGGCTTCTAGATGAATGTTGTCCCGCGTCCGTGCTAGGATCGTGATCCTTCGAACCGTCCGAGTTATGGATAGGGGCTTCTGGATTGGGCTTCGCATCGTGGGCGCATCGCTGCCTCTTTTGGAGGACACCCCGCTGTACTGTCGTCTTCGGCCTCTGGGCATCGTCGAGTGACAGTCGGATTATACCCAAGAAACTAGGCATCCTCCCGGGCCGACTCTGTTGATGATAGCGATCATGGCCGCCTCTCCGGAGGAACTTGATCCATGCTCCTTTGGATCCGTGCAAGTTCGGGCCCACTCATCACACGGACATTCGGTTTCCCGTGAGAAATTGATGGACAGCTTTCAGGGAGCTTCAAACCCGGATCCTAGCATTCACTGCAGCCTTAGGAGGGAGATGCTCCTCACTAACCCAAGAAGATGCTGTACATCGCAGGCAACAACGTTGCGGGAGCCTGCAGAAGAAGCTAGACAGGGACTGAGACATTGTGGCCTCCAGGCGGCCACTGAAGGCACTTTTCAGCAAGGTTTTTGGTTGGACGGACCGGATTCTTTCCCAAGATGTGCGTCTTCCCAAGCGAAGGATTACGCCAACACCGGTTCATCATCAGTTGAGCATGGCGTGTCCGCATCAAGCAGGCGGACCTTCCGCCGAAGTTGAATAGGGGTAAGAGTATCCAAATATGACTGCGCCTCGATGGCTATCTTGGTACTTGCCTTGGGGTAGCAGCGAGGGATTCGGATCGATGTTGACCCTGGCATGCGGTAGAGCCGAGGCGTCTGGTGTCTGAGCCCGGGAGTCAAGCGGATCACTGTAAGGACCAACGAGGCACTGCTCAGCAGTTGACCTCTCACTGATGATCACTGTTGGAGATCGTTCCTTTTCAAGGACCTTCGGGCTGAGATTAGGCGGGCCGGCCCTGCTCGGGCTGTGTTGCAGTTCCCAAGGAGCCAGAGCCAACTCGCGGGGCAGCATCAGCTTTGTCTTGATGACTTTCATTTCCTTTCCCACTCGCCTGTAATTTTGAGGCAATTCTTGTGTGCATCAACGTAGCGAGAATTGATGGACAGGAGCAGAGTGCTGTAGTACGTTCATGGTGACGTTACGAACACCCTTCTTTCGGCAGGTCGCAGGCAATAGCATGCATTTACACTAACTTGATTCTTCTGGTCTGCCACACTGGCGATGCAGGGACAACTCACCGAATTAGGCACGCCAGCTTACTGACAGCTCAAACGGCACTATACATATTGCTTTCTCGTAATATTTTTTCATTCAATTCGAATAAAGCTTCAGGTTAGCTAGAAGTGAATCACAATATGTCGTGCCCGAATCTTTAGAGGCATGCTGGTGATTGACCTCAGTGCTTTTTACCATGATGATTCAGGCCCGAGTCCCCGTCCCACCATCAGGATCCGTTTGGACTCACAAAATCAAGTTTGCAGTCATTCAGTTGTCACAGCCGTAACAGCTGAGATGCTTTCTTGCCAAACAGTTGTTTCGTTGTGCATCTCGTATATTCACCTTCACAAGCAGTTTAATTCACTTTATTGTTGTGCGCGTAGGTTGGAAAAAGCAGATTTAACGCAAAACCTATTTATGCATTGTTGCCTGTCTCACAACGAGATGCCCTCTCCTCCTTGTCACGCACTTCCGTACCCCGCTCCCGACACCTCGACTCCGATCCCCACTGACGAGAGCCGATCCCTAAAATCCCTAAACCCCTCATCCCGACCTCTCTTCTTACTCGACATGAAGATCAGAGTCATTGCGTGGAAGTACTCCTGCCCGGTTCCAAGTTGCAGAAACCTGGTTGATGTTCAGCTGCAGACGCTGTATCCCCCTGGAAGCTCATCAAGTAACCCTCTCGGCTCTTTCCAGGGAGAGATCATTCTCGAGCACTACGACATCCCCCACAGAGGGGACTGCAGGATGTGCAACCTGCGCATAGAGAACGCTGAGCTGCGCGGCGAGGGTTGGACGTTGGTGGATGACTCCGATTTGAATTGAGACCAGAAGTCGTTTTTCTGAGCCATTCGGTGACTTCACTAAACGGCGTTCAAGTACAATGGATGCCAAGGAAACGATACTTGCCAAAGAAAAGCACGTTCGCCGCAAGTCAGAGCAGACGTTAAGAAATTAAAATTGGGAACTCTGGGAAATCTTAGCCGAACGAAGAGTATATACTTCACAACGAAAACAACGTTAAATGCTAAGATAGACTTAATTCGTGCTATGTACTCCCGTACCAGACACGGCACAGGTCTGTAGTCTCAATTTATTTACGAAAGGTTTAAGTCTCCTTCACGCCTACGTTCCCCGTACAATCTGCCAAGCACCTTACATGTTCCGACAAATTTCCGACTTCGCTGCAGGAATCAGAGCTGCCAAGGCACGCGCACTAATATGCTGGCCCAGTTGATCTTCCCCCTTACTTCTGAACGCCCAGGAGTCCGAGACCCATGTGTAAGTCCCTCATCTTGAGCTTGTGAGGAGCAGCCTCGGCGCCGCCGGTGATAAGGCTGGTCGCCTCACCAATCATCTTCGTGACGCTGAGGATGTTCTCGAGGGTAACGGCCTCAGCCTTCTTGGTCCATCCAAGCTCCTCGGGCAGACGCTCGTTTTCTGAGATTCATAGTTAGACGTTTGCAACTCTGAGTGGTGATCTGGGGGTTCGACTTACGGAAGAAATATTCGACGAAATCCTTCTGGACAGTACCGGCGACCATGTCACCGAAGACAATGATAGGGGCAGCGACCTCTCCAAGACTGAAGTTCTCGACGCTGGCGGTGAAAGTGTAGTTGGGGTTGAACGCCCTGGAGGTGACTTGACGCGCAATCTTGCTGTTGGCCAACTGCTTGGGGTCGAGGATAGCGTTGGTCCAGTAGGATCTGGACTCGTCGAAGACGCTCTGGTTGAAAATGTGATTGTTGCCAAAGAAGGCGTCGGTGCGACTAGTACGAAAATTGTCAGAAATCAATAGCAGAGTCATAGTGTTCTATTATTACTCACCTCAGACTGGCATCGTGCTCGAGGACGTTGTGACGGTTGAGGTGGTCCCTTACGTAATGGTCAGCATGCGAGGCTTTTGGGAGGGACTATATTTAGCTCATACAAGGTAAAGAACGTGGCATTAGGCTCCGGATTGGCGACAGTAGCCTGGTTAAACATGATGGCTCCAAGGGTCTGGTTGAAGTTGATGCCGTCTTTCAAAGCATTCACAACAGTGTCCTGCGTGAGGTTTCTGCCATCACGAGGCAGAAAACCGTGGTTCGCCAAAGTGTTCATCATGGGGCAAGGACCACGAACTGCAACATATCAGTGATCCAGTCTAAGAGAGCATTTAGGCTTTATCTTACAGTCATCAGGTCCAGCAGGAGCCCACTCGCCGCGTTCGGCCCGCTTGAAGTGAGGGTTGTTCACCATGTTGGTGTTCATCAGCTCAGGCCTGGCCGAGACGGCCAAAGCAAGGCCGAGAGTCGCAGAGGTAATACAGAACTTCATTTTGGGTTTGTTGAAAGATGTCAAGTTAAGCAAAGCCTGGAAAACGAGTGAAAGATGAGATGATTGCGATGCTTGTGTGTTTCTTCCGATGAACAGGACATGATTCTAGGTTGTCTTTATACTCAACAATGCCGAGAACACCGTTTGTGCCTCAACCCCCTTTTTCTTCCAACCACCACGTCTAGTTTCACCTTGAGGTCACCACAGCCGCGACTGCTCCCCCCCTCGTGGCCAATGCCAAATGACAGAATGTCGATGTCCGCAGATCATCCCGTCTAGAATCTCGCTCTCGCTCTGCGATGAACCCTTAAAACCCCACGAGTATAACACACAGCCAATTGGAGATCGGATGATTACCATTGCGCATGGTTGTGATTGCGGGGACGATGGATGGTTGCAGGCATTCGCGTAGCTATTCCCAGTGAAACGCGTACCGGGCTGGCCGCTAAGCGGATTTTTATACGCGGAAACATTTTTATGCTACGTCATACCATCACGAAACACAGCATATACGCGGATTGGATATGATTGCTTTTCTTCAGCGAATACGTGTATTAAGAAACATTGGCGACTTTTAACGTTGGCTACCAGCTTCGTACGTCAGTAAATAGACGTTCACGATGAGGTCAATGTTACACCGGTAAGTCTGGACTTGGAATGTCACCACCTACAAAAGTGTGCCTCCCTCCTATCTAAGCAGCCAGTATGTTGCACATAATCTACAAATTGAGCCAATCATGTCTGGTAAGTTTCAAATCCACAATCCTTGGGGCCAGGGGATCATGTAAATAACCTTCTATCGTCACTTTCAATTCTCCGGACTCCGCTCATGAGGCGTATTGATGATGAGCTGTTCCATCTGCAAACCATTTTATTGGCGGGCAATCATCAGCAAACCCGCTACTCGATTCAAGCATAGAATAACCCCTACCCTTTCGCCCTTTCATTAGGACCGCGACCCCGGCTGGCAAGAAGGCGTCGTCAACCTGTGACTTCACCCAGCCACTCACATCGCCTTGTGGTCCCCTCGAGTCGTTGTTCTTTGTGCTAAGCCCAGTACTAGCGTCCGCCAAGCTTAACTGCCGCTGCCGGTAGCAGCACACCGGTAACGCATTAGCAAGGCTCGCCGCCGCTCGCCACAGCGATCTGCTGACTTCATGCAGTTAGAGAGCTGGTTGAGGCTGGTACTGGGCTGAGGCTAGGGCTGCTGGGGCCGGTCTGTTTCGCAATTCGCAATTCGCTTTCGGGCTCGCTTTCGGTGCCCCCAGCTCACCGGTGCCGGAACGCTTGGCGGAGGCCGAGACACGCTACGGAGGGCTCCGCTCCGTCTACATACTAATTGCGCCGCTCCGCCCCGGGCGTAGTTCATTTCGCTGCCCGACTTCGTGCGATGACAACAAAGACACGGAGCAACGCGTGCGCGGCTTACTGGAATTTTCGCTGACAGCCGCATGCTTACTTCACGGACGTATTCTCGGACTTTGGAAAGCTGACAGGACCCCACGTGTGAGGTACTTCCTCTGCTACGGATCACACGGGAACTGAGCCCCTCACTTCGCCTGCATTTTTATGCCGCACCAAAAGAGAACTCATCGAGTGATGGGGATATGAACGGCAGCTTCGGATCGATCAACTAGCGGAAATCGTTCTGAGTGACTACGAGAATTTCTGTCCCATCGACTGCTAGTGAACTACGGTACACGAGATACGGGGTTCTGTTCAACGAGGTGTTCTCCAGAAAGATCAGCATCCATTGTTTTCTAATGAATAGCGAATAGCGAATTTCTTGGCTAAACGGAAGCAATTCTAACCTGGGATCCTAAGTGCTGGAGTTCACCAACAGTCGATGGCATACGCGATGACTTTGCTTTCACCTTCACTAATTGAGACAGTTGCTCATGGTATGGGCAAGTCGATGCTGACATTAGTCATAATGAAGATGCGTCTCGCGACACAGGAATGTCCGTTTTCTACAACATCATGTGTGAACAATCTCCCGATATTTCTGCGAACACCTGGAAGAGCCATATCATCAGTCTTCGAGTTTACATGGAGGAGAACGCCCATTTGCCTGCGTACAAGGCATGACCTTTCCTACGATAACCCAATATACAGGCTAACAATCTGTTTCCTCTACTTGGCTTGGCAAAACCCAGGAGGACCATGCAGTTTGCCCGAAACCGAGACGGGCTAGGTACTCAATTCGCTGAATTGTCAACCTGTTGTGTACTTCGTCAGAAACCCCTTTTCGGCCTCACTTGGCGAGTACACGTTTTCCTTTTGATACTTGACCCAATTACTGACGAGAGCAGAGCACGAGTTTACATGAAGCTGCAGCGATTCGATCTCGGAAGGGGCCAAGAGCTAAGCCCGTTTGTGCCGATGGATCGCAGAAACAGATGCAAGGACCTCCGGGTATTTGGGGATGAACAACATGGGAGCGAATCCTTCCAGCCAATCTGTTCTGACAAATCAAACCCGTCGGATTCGGTATCGAGGGGCGTCGTGGAATTCCATTCGACTCCGCTCAACTGGCCGAAATTTCTCCCGTCGAGGGTGAAATGATCACAATAGCAACTTCAACAACAATATTGCCAGTCCACGGAAACCACGCGTCACACCTCCGCCGCCGTCATCGTCACAACCGATGTTACTCAGTAACTACGAATGATGACCCAAAGAACAATCCCCGGGTCTGAAGGCGCAATGGCATGGCATACAGGGTGAGGGAGTGACCGGTGATCTTTCCACGAACGCGTCGACTACACAACCAACCCGCGATCTGCCACGTGAACCTCGATCTCGTTGCCAGCCAGCTGGGTAAGCAACTCTCCGATTCTTGAGCTCGTGATGCCTGAGAGCAACAGCTGACTGAGCGCCTACCTTAGATCGCACGATGCTCTCCAGGACAGGGAATCATTGGTTCTTCAAGCTGGGTCTCAGCTTACTGTGCACCTTGCGCATACATACCCGGAGACGGCGAACGCTGTTCGAAGCTGAGAGTAGTCCGATCGAGATCACAACGGCTCACTCGAGTGATTAGCCTATGCCGCGTAAGCCTTGATCGCAAGACAACAGTAAGCAACACAAAGGCTTCACCGGAATTCCACCGCTCGAACAGTCTCGATTGCGGAAGAAGAAGAAGACGACCACTGGGACTGGGGAACAGGACGGAGGCTCAGCAACAACATGCAGGAGTTAATATTAATACCCGGAAGATCTGTCAAAGGCCCGATGACAAGCATGTTGGATGGGCTTCGACTAATGGGCTTTGCTTGAAGCTTCAGAGGGTTGCAGAAAAAGCACTGGCACAGGATGAGATATTGCTTCTCTATGGCACCGGCAGCGACGTACAAGGCGCGTGATTTCAGTGAAGAGCATTGTGGTACGCAAGAGCTTAAGGCTGTCGGGAACTGCCTTCTTGCATGTTCAACTCCCAAATGTGACGGCAACTGTTCTGTCGTCCGGTCTCTTGAGAGACATCAGAAGGACACTTGGCACCCGCATTCCGACTTCAACTTCATAGCACGACCCTCGTAACCAGTTGACGCATCACGCACCTGACCCGTACTCCCTCCCGCCCGGCAAGACTCCTCCCTTACGCCTGCCTCATCATCACCCTCACCCACGTTCGAAGCGGCCCGAACGGACGGAATTCCACAACCCCAAAACACCGGAACCGTCCCCCACAAGCCAACCAACCCACACTCCTCCTCCAAAGGAACATTAAACAACACCCGCAAGCCCCAGACTCGCTCGTCACGCCGGGTGTTTCCTCCCACTCACCCGGCGCCTTAAGGCTATCCAGATGAAAATTCTCCCCGAAAACAAGCTCCCCGTGTAAACCAACCAAAAAAGCAACCAAAAACGAAAGCAAAAAAAAAAAAAAAAACCGCCCCCAAGGCGCAACGCCGCCGCCCATCGCCCGGGGCCGCCCACACAACGGCCCCCCGCGGCCCCATGAAGTTGACAAGGCCCGCGCAAAAAGGCTGACGACGACGCCATCTCCCGCCGCCATCGTCATCCATGCCACACAATCTCTTTTGACAACTCAACTCTTTGCAACTAGGTTAACAAAGTCTGAATCCCGTAAAGTCCCGGCTCAAATCAAGCAACGGAACAGTGGAGACCCTTCATCTATCTCTCTACAACTGTCCATCCCCTCGGGCCTCCTTCTGCGCCCGAGAAGTCACCTAGAAATTGAAGACAAAGTACCCTTTCCAGGGGAGCCCCCTTCTTGCCCCCCTTGCTGCGCCTTACCAAGAGATTTTCGATATTTCTGCCCAGGCTGGGATTGTGCAATAATCTCCGATGAGAGGTGGAGGGGGGCGTGTTGTATCTCTCTTGTGCCAAACCGTTGTCATGATTCAATCACGAACCCGTTCCCGTCCCATATTGATATCCCGTGCCCAAAACATAACCCGCGCCTCTTAAGATCCGGGATCAAGCAACTTCCGCGGTATCAAAGAGCGTGGTGTGGAAAGAAAACACACACAACAAACCCATGGACCATGTCCATGTCCATCCCACCCGTCCGTCCAGCGTCACAAACAAGAAGAATGCCAAGACCAAACCGTCTCAAGCAGTCCCATGTCAAAGTGGTCAAGGTCCAGCAAAAGCTACCCCTACCTCTCAGTCCTGTCTCCCTCCCTCCCTTGGAGAAGGATACCCCAAACCCCCGAGAAGGGAAAAACCCAAAACCTCAACTTCTCTCCAAAAAATTCAAACCTCCAACTCCTCCTACCCCAGTCCAGCCCAGCCCAGCCCAGCCCAGCCCAGCCCAGCTAGCAAACCCAGCCTAACCCTTCCCTTCTCCCCCCCAAAACCCTTCACACTAACAGACGGCAATCCGCACTACTGCTTCACACTTCACTACATCCGCGACAACCTCCGTCCCCTAATCCAAATAACCACCATGCATGCCACGCACTCTTCCACCAGCATGCTCTATCCCCCCTCAGGCTTGCTTGGCCTCTCTCTCTGTCTCTCCCACCGGAGACGCCTCCGTGATCCCAACCACCAAGGAAAATCCCGTCTTTACACGTTCCAATCTCCCAATCGACGAAATAAACCCCAGATAGCCCAATCAATTGAAATCTAGATAAGGCACCACGACAATCAGCAACATCCATCCATCCACACACCCCCAGTCCAAAACAGAAGATCTACACGCCAAAGTCACTGACACCAGATCAAATGCCTAAAGAGAAAATGGCAGAACATCTCCTCGCGCTGCCGGATCGAACCCAAAAAGAGCTCATAAATCCAAATCGCGTGCTTCGCAGCAGCAGCAGCAGAAAGTGCCAATAGACGGGGCTAGGCTTACATCCCTCCAACGACTCAAGACAAACAGAACCTACCGCCCTGCTGCTCCGTAGCGCGCGCCGGCGCGGCTAGCACAACCCAAAACCTAGCCATCGAAGCGCACCACTACCAGGATGAACAGTGCACCTACCGCAACAGAGCTGTTACAAGAACGAACACGAGCGCCATCCGACGACCTCGTTCTTCTCGCCTTCTCTATGGGACACCCACCGCACCGCACGCGGGCAAAAGAACGGTGAACGGTGAACCTAAGCCTCGTGGCAAGATGAGACGAAAAACCCTCTCTGTCCCAGACCCGGCAATCACGCAACATGTGGCTCCTCCTGCACCACTTGCCCAACTATTGCCCTTTCTTCAATGCAAAAGCCGTAAAACAAACTTGAACCATGGGACGACAAAAAAAAAGTGACAACCGGATTCTTAGCCCAGCAAGGCACTGACTAAGTCAGACTGCAACCGCAGCACACAACACGTCAAGTTCCGTGTTACGAACACTTGACAAAGCAATAAACCCGTCCCTTTTTTTTTTCGTATTTTTATAGCAACAGTTCCCAAATAGGCCAAAGAAACAAAAAAAAAGGTATCCGTACACGCAGTGACGAAAAGGAAACAATTGCCCCTCCTGCTGGACCGCCCCCCCATCGCGAACACCACCGCCGCCGCCTCCGGCCGGCGTCCTGCGTGCCCAATAATGCAACTCTCCATGTCGTGCAGGTAGCAACGGGACCCAAAAACTTACTCATTCACACATATTGGACACAGCTTGCTTGCTGATGCTGACTTGGGCGCGGCTCCGGGACGGGGGGACGGGGGGCCCTCTCATATCTCTCGGTTAATGCCGAAGTATTGCATATCAAAAAACAAGAAAAAGAGAATCACAAGCAGTTGTTCTTTTTCTCTTCCCACTTGGCAGACCCCTCCCCTCCCCTCCGTCGCTGCCCAGGGCTGGCTGCTCTGCTGCTCTCCACTCCCCCTTTCACAACGATTCGCGCTGTTTTCCCGAGCCGATCGCAATGACGACACTTTCTCTTCCATCCTGTGATGCGCGGGTTCCACTGCAACCACAAAATCGCAGCAAGAGGTAGCGCGCCCCCATCCGGAGCGCGTGCTGTACCGTGTTAGCGCCCTATCCCACCCCCCGGTTCCCCTCCTCCGACCCCCAAATTTCACCTTAACCACCTTGCCGCATATCAGATATACATTGTAGGAGGGAGGAGCAGTGCCCGAAACATACCAAAACAACAGCGATCTTACGGAATTCTTTCCGACTTGAGACTGCTTGCAATGAGGCTTAGTCCGTCGTCGTTCCCTGCCGCTACTGGGCCAGGTTTCTTTAAGATTGCCAGCCCTGCTGCCCTGCCGGGTTGCCCAGACCCAGCCTTATTGTCTGGGGATCACCTCTTTTCCCACTTTCCCACCGAGCCATGTTCATTCTTCACCCACTCAGAGGCTGGGAAGGGGGAGGGACGGATGGGAGGGAACCGGACGGCACGATTCACACTCTCGCCTACGGGCGAAGAAGCGGGACCACCCCCAGAACCAAGTCGGTATCCCAGCTTCTTTTTTGACGAACATGAACCGCAAAAAAGCAACGTTGCTTGGCGAGCTCCGTGAAGGCCAAGGAACGAACCTGTGCTGGGAAGATAAAGTGAGGACGACGCGAAAGTTATCTGCACACCCCGCGATTCATGTTCTCGGAGCGGTCTTTGAGTCCGAAGGGCTGTGATGTTGGACAGAATTGGCTTGCTTCGCCATGGAAGGCACACCATGTCCCGTGTCGTCAATCCGGAAAACCCGTCGAATATTGGATAACACACATAGTAATAAGTTTTGCCGGCCATTGCCGTCGGCAACGGCGATATCAGGTCACTGTTAAGGTGATTCACCCGTAGCGTACGGAGGACCGCCGAACCGCTGGAGAGAGATCGTGGATGCCGCGTGGTATTTCATCAGGCCAACGAGAACCACCAGGGGCCAGGGAACAACGAAGAAGCTGGCTCCAGCAACGAGCGGGCGAGCCTTTTTGCGTCGATTCATTCGCGGGGCCGGGCGGGCGCAAAGGACTGCTTAATCTGTGAACCTTCGTTACCGTCTCGTGGCCCTGATGAAATGGCAATGCTGCACTGCTGGTTTGGTTCACCTACCACCACCCCCGGCCACCGCCGTTTAGCAGTGTTACCACGCGATGCGATGCCGTGCGATCTCCAGGGCCACCAGACGGCAGGGCTGTTTAGCGCCCTTTCCTCTCCTCCTTTTCCCAGCGCGTGCTGCGTGTCAGGAGTGTGTGCTGTGTGTATGTGTGTTGTGTGCAGGCATTTGTGTATCCAGTCCAGTGGTCGGAGGATCAGGCCTGGGCGAGGGAGGCGCTCCCCCTTCACCGCACTTTGCAGCTCTGCCGTGTCTGGCGACGTCGGGCGGCATCGCGAAACCAGGGAAGACCCTCGCATCCGTGACAGGTACAGCGCCGGTAGCGATCTCCACGACGATGGGGCCCAGTCAGCAAAGTACATACCTGTCGCCGCCTGTGCTAGCAGAAAGCAGAAAAACCTTCAGGGAAGATGACTGAAGCCTGGCAAAGGTGACAGGCTGACTTGCTGCTGTTGCACACACACACCGAGGCATCAATTCTTCGCGGTGGTGTACGGATGTAGTATAAGTCGTCCGTTGTTCGACGTTCGCTTGATGACGGCCACACACCACACCCCTGGTTCCTGGGCGGCAGTGCAGGCAGGTCCAAGAGGGAACGAACGAAACAGTTGCTGAAGAATGTGGGGCCCCTTCTCGAAAAACCATCAAAGTCAGAAGAGAATAGGGCCGAGATTGGGGGAGGCATTCTCTCTTCTCATCCTTGAGATGACCGAAAGAGGGGACAACCACTGCACCGTAAGCCGCTGATCGCGTGGAAAATGGGTAAACCAGACGGGGATGAAACGCCCTTTTGCGGATAGTTGCTACCCTTTCTTCGCCTTACCACCGAAGTGAGAGCAGCATCAGCAGAGAGAAGAGGAGGCCGTGGTGGTTCCTCGTGTAAATCCTCGTAAGTCGCAAAACAGGCCCCCGTTGGCCCCCAAAACTGCGCGTGCAATGTCCAGCAGCCCAGGGCGTAAACTCTAACAAAGTGCAAGACCCCTTGCTGATCCATCCATATTCCGGCATGGAAGGGGGGGTTTGGTCAATTGGGGGTTCACGGAGCGATGAAGAAGCACGCCGCCTGGGAAATGGCGCGGCACACGCCTAAAGGCCCAGTCAAGATTTCACCGATTGATTACCTATGGCCCCTCTCACCTTGGGCGGGTTCTTCCTAAGTTCCATTCTCGCTGAGGGAACGCCCCCTCACCCCAGCAGGAACCCTTAGCAGAGCCAGCCCTGACAATATCTCGCACGGCAGGGTAGATGCGCGGGTGGCTGACGTGCCAGTGACGTTGGGCAAAGAAGGCAGATTTGACAGCGGACGAGACGGCACGTATGGGGAATAGTTCGCGATGCGATCCCGTCAAGCTTCGAGGTTGCATGAGGAGAGGCAATGGAATGGTGGAAAGAACCCCGCGCGCAACGCTGCTGTGGCTCGGCATCTGTGTTTGTTAGGGGCTCGAGACGCGGTTTCGATCGCGGTAGCGTAGCTAGCTTTGTAGCTCAATCGCTTCGTCGTTTCTGTAGTTTGTTACCAAGCAGTGTGTAATACTGCTGAATACTAATCAACAATCGAGCGCTGCGTCTGCGTGAGGGAGGTTGACGCTCTCGAGGGCAGCTAGCGTGCGGACTATTGCAAGCCACGGTCCGCGATGGAACCCCGACGATGACCACAGCGCGACAAAGTGGTCGGCGATTACTGTTGCTTTTCTTCGCTTCGCGTGTCCTTCGAGAAGGTGTGCTAGTTTAGTTTTAGTATGAAGCATCAGCAGACGGCCGGTTCCCGCTCACCCGAACGCTGGCGCCGGCGCATGTCCCTCCCTCCCTATTATCGACCACCACCACCACAACACCGTCAGATGAGCCCTAACGAGCGAGTCCGAAAGAGGCTGCTTTGCCTCTTCCGCCCTACGGGCCTGTGACATATTCCCAGCTGGAGGGATAGCGTGCTGTCCTAGCGGCAAACGGACCCTTGGCGTCGCGTTCCCAAAGCCCCCCAAGCTAAAACCACCACCTGTGGCCGGTAGGGCGGAAAGTGCGGGATCATGATCAGCGTGGTTTCGGCCATGGTTGTGAACGCGCTCTACCAAAAAGGGAGGCCATCCCCGTCCTCGACCTCGGCACGTCGGGGGCCTGGCCTGGACAGGGCCAGTGGAGGTTGATACGGGGGAGAACTGGGAAAGCCCTAGCGTGTGAGAGGGGACCACGGACTGGAGTCCAAGGAGATAATTAGGGGAGTTTGTCGATTAGCGCAGTTCAAAGGGCCGACCCCTGGTCCTTTTTCGAAGCTCCAGCGATCAATCGCCCCAAGTCAGTGACATCGTCGGGCTTGGTTGGCGATTTGCGTGTCGGATGGAGAGTGTACCTCAGGTAGGCAGGTATTCGTACGGGTGTGTGTATCATGATGGGGTCTCGCTCGCCTGTAGGCACGGCACGGTAATTGAACGCTATCGTAGCTTCGTCCAAATCGATACAGGTATGAACCATTGAACACAAATTGCCCTGGTCTATCGTCCCGTCTTTGTCCCAGGTGGGAATCCTGCCGAGATTGAACTCAAAAACAAGCACATGAAACCCCGCCTTGCCAGCTTTTTCGTTCCTTGAGCTAGGAAGAAAGACAGAGCAACGGGTTTTGTCGCCCAACAGCACAAAAAGGTCGATATGACTCGTCGATTGGCCCTCGTAACCTCCTGGACATTGCTTCTTGCACTGCCACACTCGCCGGTCGACCAAAGTATCCACAAACAGGGCCGGTCAGCGGTAGGGGAGATGGGGAGGGATGGGGAGGGGGGCCGGCCTTGTCCTCGATACCAATCTCCCTAAAACGGGGGCGTCGCGGGATTTTAGTGTCCAGTAGGAAGGGGAGAGAAGAATGCGTTAGGGCTCCGGCAGTCGAGACGCCGGAGACGGGATTCCAAGACAGCAATTCCTCCGGCCGGGGCACCGCGGGCATTGGCTGCCGCCGCGGAAAGCGTGCGTAACCAGGAACCTTCGGAGCCAAGGGTGACACGCTTTTTGTTTTTTTCGCCGTCCACCAGCCCATCGAGCCGTTTGCCTAGGGCCTAGGGTACCGTGCTGCAAACCCATACCGAACCCAGTGCCGTGAGGGTGGGAATGGAATGGCAACACAGCCTTTCCGCTTGGAATGCGTCCCGAAGCTCTGCCAGGAGTCGCTATGGGGAACAATAATGCTCTTTGATAATGCTCTGACGGCTGCCTCACAGGGAGAGACAGAGTCGCTACAACACGAGCTGAGCTCCGTTCCTCAACCCCGCCGCCACCCTCCGATGACCGCGTAAGCACCGAGAAAATGTCACTTGGTCTGTCACTCTGTCAAGCTTCTGCCTGAGAAACGGACAGGAGCAAGGCATGTAGCAAGTTGATCCCGACTTGCCTGCGTCGTTGCATTCGCGCCGATGAAAGGGTTCCATACCGGGTGTTACGGCTCCGGCATGGCTGATCGCTGGGCGCAGCTTGTTTTGAGCAGGAGATCTCAGGGGCCGGCACTCTTGGAGGTCATCTCCCAAGGTCATCGAGAGCCGTTCATTCGCAGCGTGAGAGAAGCCAGCCACCCCGTGCAACATGAAGATCTCGGTTGACCGGAGACACCTAGGTGTCGAGAACACCGGCGCCAAAGCCCAGCCAAAGCCCAGCCCTCGGCGGTTGAAGCAACAGCAGCCGCAGCCAAGGCAAACATGGTCCGCCACCGCACCCGTGGCCGGTTCGGCGCAATTGCAAACTTCAACACCTGAAGCGAGGCCTTGCACACGCCCACTGGCACCAGTAGCATGGCATTTCAGGCGTTGCGAGACCTTGTTCCTCAACCGGTGCTACCGCGGGGCTGCTGTGGCCGGGGCGGTAGATCATCGCCATCCACCCAACCAAAAGCCTCCTTTCAAGGACATTAGGCGCGGCGGCGACTTTTTCCGCCCAGCAGGGCTCCAGCCAGGCGAGTCAACTGCATCCTGTATCCCGTGTCATGCAACGTCGTAAACGCTCAGGTGGCTAGTCATTGAACAAATGCCACCCGACACATTGGTAGCATGACGTCTTGCAGGACATGCATGCGTCGACAGACTTTGCGCGTGTCTTGCAAATTTTCAAGATCCAAAGGCCGCTGACCAAAAGGAATCACCGGCATAAGCTGACAGCGAAGATACTAAGCAGTCGAGCTTCCAAAGTTCCAGAAGCCTTCTGGACCAATTCCACGCGCTTGCCGAAAGTGGCAGTTCCCCCGTCTCTTAGTCTTTCAGCCCTCTAGGCGAATGCCCTTCTGCGTCGTTGTCAGGCTGTTGGGTCGTATAGTGCGGAAAGCCGATCTCGTGATGAACGCTTGCTGTCCTGTCAAATTTAGATGCAGCATCTTACCTGACCGTTTCGAGTCAGCTCAGATGGACACCCCCCGTGTTGATGGAGCATCATCCCAGAGGCGACGCGAACAGTGTCCTTGTCTGGAACATCACGAACTCCAGCTCTCCCGTGTATTTGCGGGGTCTAGAGCGAGCCAAAATATGGATGTCAGCGTAGCTTTCTCTACTAGTTCGCGATCCAACATAACCACGTCCTTGACAAGTCGGTCTTTGTAACTCTGCGAGTGGGCTCTTCGTCGGATTTTGAGTAGTGCACTGACACCTCCGTCGTCCAAGAAGGACTGAGCGTCTGTCGTTCGTTATCCGGAGATTGACTCGTCCAGGTCAGGGAGGTGGCGATGCTGCCGCGATGGATCCGTATCCGTACTATGTAGAACGGGAGACCGCGTAGATCTGCTTTGGGTACGTTGCGAACCCAAAACATCCAGACGGCATCAGCCTTGTCTGGACCATACGATCTTCTCCCATGCACTTTGATATCCACGCACCTGCTCGACGCATCGGTTCGGCCTCTGTACACCGTCTCCACCGAACGGACACCCGACTGATCCGGAAGCTAGGCCGGCACGAGTCCCGCTTCAGCCCCGAACGGGCCTCGGCAGCGCGTCGTCATCCAGGGCTGTTAAATGGAGGACGCGTAAATATCCTCAATAGCTTCAAAGAAACGATATGAGTTGTAATGCGCATTCTTTGTTTGGCCCCGGCTTGTTGACCCCAGCCCAACGCCCCCTTGGGGGCATGCTACATGATCCCTCGGATTGCGCTCAACCACACGGCCCGGAGACGTTGTCGAGAGGCAATTTGACGTGACCTCAGACGCAGCACCTAGGTCGCGGTGAGGCCCGGATGCATAAGCGTCAACTGACTGCAGACAGAGAGACCACCAGAAGAAAGTCCGAGGTGCGCATGGAAGCTCATGCAGGCCAGGAGGTCGCACCTTTAGACGC